TTGTCGTCTTGAAAGCAGTGCAAATAGCTGGCTGCGTTACAGCTTAATAGTGTTTTGTATGTGATATTTCGTTTTTTTTAAAACTATGCAAGTTCCCTTTCATAATAATGTTACTTTATCATTATATACTCGCCCGACCTTGAGTACTTCACATGCCGTTCAGGTTTCCAGTGTGCAGGATGACTTTGCTTACGTGATTGTGCATAAGCAGTTAAGTGCACAGTCAAAGCTCCAAAACCAACTTAGCCAGTTCTAGTTGTGCTGCTTAACCGGTAGTGATACAAGCGCTGTAATTACAATTACCTCGTCAGAAGTGAGTGACATGCAGCTCATTGTAACCGGTTCATGTGGTCAGAGCTAGCTCGAAGGGAGCTTAGTCATGCAGACAAAGGGCTAGAAATTGGACTTTATAAAAGCTTCATTTAAATCTCTCCTAATTCACCTTATTAATCTGTCTCTATTTTAGTAAACCGGGAAGCTCTTCACAGTATTTAGAGTCTGCTATCGTCTACTCGTTAATTTTTCTCTATAAATAAAACTCCTAAGAAAATTAGGAAATTGGTTTAGATATGACTTAGGGGAGAACATACTTTTTGCAGGTGTGTAAGAACACATATCATGATGATCAACATAAAACTAAGTTAAGGTACAGTACTCTGGAGTAGCTGTTTCAGAACTATGTTAATATCATTCAGCGGGGTGTTAGTACATCTCAATTGAAATGAAGRTGCAGTGCCTAAATTAATGAAAAACTTACAGATGAATCATAAAAATCATATGTGCATTGGCCAGAGGTCTAACATCAATGAACTACAATATTGAACTCCTTTTTCTTTTGGAGAAGGGTAGTAGAAATTTTCTTCTTTTTATTTAATGCTTTGAAGGTCTGTTCTTTTAAGCTAAGCTATTAAATGCTTGGGTCCAAGACAATTAAAATAAGGATGTTTCTGAACAAAATAKAACTTCTGGCTGCATGAATTTGTGGAGGAGATGCTGCCTAAGCTTTGAGGAACTCCGGCTGCACTCAGTGCTTGCTAGGCCACTAGATATTTTTTCCAGTTACTATATAGGTGTTTATTACTCGTCTCTTTGCCTGTCACCTCATACTGTTATTGCTGGAAAGGGCAAGAGAAAATGTTTAGGAATCTGCTAGTGGTGATGACTGCATAGAGCTTTTGTTGTTCTAGAAAGTGGTGTTTTGGGGGGTGATGTGAGCATTTTTTGTTGTATTTAGAAAGTTTGGAATGGTTTAGAAAATGCTCTCTATGGGGGGGATGGTTTTGGGGTATATTGAAAGACTTGCATTCTCTAGCCCTTTTCTGGTAGCATATAATAGATAGGTGCTGTCTGAAGCAAAGAAGTTGCATTCAAAGGTTTAGAATGGAAACAAAGAGAAAATGAAACCTATCATATTTTCAGCTTTTGCGGTTACTKATTGTACCATTTCTTTCAGCAACTACCCTCTGAAAAAGGGAGAACAGGGTGTATTAGGCTAGGAGCTGAAGAAATTCAACTCTAAAATCACTCAGTCGCCTAGCAGTGAGAGTGACTGATACTGGAATGAGTTCTCATGAACTTCATAAATTTGCTTCTCGGGAGTCCTTGGAAGGTTTGAGTCTTCATTTATTTAAGTGGGATCTCTGTTCAAAGTAGTGGTGGAAGAAAAGACATGGGGTCATTTGCTTGCCTTGCAACCGTAGGGTTTGAATTTTTATCCTTTACCTTTTTGGGGCCCTGGACATGTAAAGCTTGCTTAGTAGCTGTTAAGCTTGGACTTGAGGTTTCAGGAGTTGAGTTACATGTGYGGGCAGGGAGCAGTTACCCTCCCAGTGCCTGGTTTGGTTTCTGGGCTGCTGCTTTGAGCAGTGACAGCCGAAATGCCCCCTGCCCGGGCGCCTGTTGTGCCTGGCCCTTAGCAGGTGCCTGTTCCAGAGCAGGCAAGGAAGTTGATGATGTTTTAGAAACAGGCCATGCTGTTAGACTGAATATTGATGGTATCGGCATGGACTTTTTCCTCGTTTCACTGAGGGTCTTGTTGCTTCACCCTGACTCAGGAGCTTGTGGAGTTGGTGGCAAACGCAAGCTTCGCTCTCACGAAAGTGGAGGCATTGGCTTGTCGTTTCCTTGCCGTGAGGAACTTGCTGATAAAGCAGAAACGAGGGCTCGGCGGCGAGGGGAGGCCGCGTCGAAAGTGCAACCGCAGAAGCTTCCTCCGGCTGCCCGAGCTGCGAGGGGTGACGTGGCCGGCGGGCGAGCGCCCTGCAAACAGCCCTGTTTGGAGCTCACGGTGAGGGGCGCCTCTGTTGATCCCCCCTGGAAGGGTCTGATGGGGAAGGACGCCTCTGTGGAACGCTGTCATGCCCCTCGAACGCTCCCTGGAGCTGCCCGGGCTCTGTGGCCTCCTGCCTCTCTAGGGCCTGTGGAGGAAGCAGCGCTGCTCTCGCTTCTCTGCACCTACACCGTGCCCCACTGGAAACAGGAAAAAGCACCAAGAGGTTAATCTGAAATTTGATGCAAAAACTAAGTGCGTTCGGAAAAGGGTCCCTTTGCGTTTTACTGATTCGTGATAGACTGTGGAAATAAAAAGCTTTTTTCTTTATTGCTTTTTTTATTTATGTCCGATATCATGTCTACATCTTAGGTGTTCTGCTCCTAGAGCAGAGAACTAGAAAACAAAACAAAAACCCAAAGAGCCTGTGGTTGCGGGAGCTTGATTCCTCCTGACTTAGGACTGTGAGTGTTCCTATTCATGAATTAATTTATCAAGTGGCATTTGCTAAACTTGCTTTAGATCAAATACACTAGCAAACCTCGATTCGTACTCGACTTCCTCCTTATCTGACCTGGGAGGATCTAGACTTTTTTCTTTAACGTTTCAGAGCTCCTTTTTTTTCTCTTTCTTTTTTTTTTTTTAAGTGAAATTCATGTATAAACTCTTGAATACTTCTAAAGGCAAAATTAAGCAATGTCTTATACATTGCCTTTTAAACGGTCAGGAGTCAACTTGTTCTTTGCTTTTAGGATTGAACTTGAAAGTGACAGCTCTGTTCTAGTCCTTTAAGCTTTAAAAGCCCAAATCTTGGTGAACTTCAGGACTTGATACTCATACAGCTATTTGAAGGCTTGTTTTGATCTGTGTAGTTCCTCAGTGTAAATGAGTGACCCAAAAAAGGGGGGAAAATAGCCCTTAGATTACAGATTCCTTCTGTGTTTAAAGTTTGGGAATCCCTGAGGTAATAACAATAAATATAGAAAAGTAATTCACAGGATGTGCTTGCCACTTACAATCTCAGCCTTCCTCCCCCTTGCAGTTACTTTTACACATCTGTGTGAGTTGGGCTCTTCTCAGCTTTGAATTGTTCAACTTGTTAGGCTACCGCGTTTCAGAAATCTGAATTACATGTTTTTTTGTCCTTTTGTTTGCATTTCAAAATGAACCTTTTCCTGTGAAGCAGAGACCATCACTTCTGTTTGAGAACACAATAGCAATCTGTGTTTTATGTTATGTTTCATATTATCMAAGTGAAGTTCTGGAGTGTGTACATTTTAGGAGATGATAAAATGTGAGGAGAGTTTGGGACCCAGAAGAGGAATTGCAAAAATTGCCATGTGAGGTGGTCCAATGAATTTTGGGTGCTGAACGAGGTGTTAAAAAGACGGAATGAGGAAACATTGGCAACAAAAATGTGTTCTTAGGAAGTGGTTGYGTGTGTGCGCCAGGTGCTTTTATCCCATGTGTTAAGGGTGCTTTTTTTTGATCTTTGAAACTATAAAGCCCATCATTTTCCCCTAAAACACCRTAAAGACCGGGGCAGTGTTGGTGACCTTGTAATAATTGTGTATTTATAACAGTRACCTATAAAGCGGGAGATGAAGATTCAAATTGCGTTTTCAGAGGGGTTTCAGGTGTGATCTCTGCGGAGCCCGTGGTGCATTTCTGTGACCACAGCGCCCTTAGCTCTTCTGCCTGCAGCTGTGTCTCTGCGGCAAGGAGTGTGTGTTCTGGTCCCCCAAACTTCATCCGAGTTAATGGCAAAGGCAGGAAATGCAGGGAGGAGGGGACGAGTTATTTATAGTGGTTTTTTTCTTTCCTTCTTTCTGTATTTTGAGCACACTCTGCATTTTATTGCAAACACTTTCTTGCTTGCTTCTGTATAGTTCGTGAGTAGTCTTTTGGCAAGTGCAACTTAGATCTCTTTGAACTTTTCTTTCCCTCTCTAACTCATGTTCATTCTTGAGCTGATTGTTTTATTATAGAGARTGGGCAAAGTCCTTATCTCTCTGTCCTTAAAAGAAAGCAGCATCCTCTCCTTTTGGAGGGGTAAAGGACAATCCTGTGACYAACTGCTTAAAGGAAGTGGCTGGAGGAGCTTCATTGTGGATCTGAGTGTGATTGAGTGGTGGACTTTTTGCTGAGTAGCCTTCTAGTTCATACGGGGTTTCTTGGTGCAGCCATCTTAAATGTTTCAAATTTTATTATGCTGCTATCAAGGTGTAGAGAAGTGTTGTCATATTGAGAATTTGGCAGCTGATGAAATAAATCTATCCAGATTTACAGTAATATTATCAAGTGTTATCAAGAACTAAGCCAAAGTTTCATTTTTTTTAAGTGTTAAAATATGGTATAGGCTAGGTGTGTTAAACTCGCTTCTTCAGGTGTACATCTCTGCTTTTGAACCTTATCAGTCATATTAGTCAAAATACTGAATTTTGGCAGAGCCAAGCTGGAAAAAGCTGCTCCACTTTGGAAATGTTTTCATGCCAGAGGACTGATTGGCGAAATATGTTGCTTATTAATGTTGCATCTTCAYGAGAGACTTCCTAGGGGAGGTTTAATGTCACAAGCTGCGTGTGACTTCACTGATCTGTTGGGCCTTGCTCTGCTGTGTTGGATTGTCATAGGAGCAGCAGAGTTTAGATGTTTAGGACTTAAACTTTACTACCAAGTGGGTTTTTTTTTGTAAATAACATTTTTTTTTTCTTGCTTCACAGCTTTCATCCAGTCGGATGGCATAATAGAAATGCTACGTTTCGATGAAGGAGACCTATTGCAGGTATGTAGTCCCGGAGAAAGCCGTGCAAGTGGCAGTGCTTCCTCCCCTTTCTTTTGGTAGCTGCTTCTTGAAACTTGTGGGTGGGTGGGTTTTTGAAGAAAGGCAACTGTGGAGCTTCAAGTCCAAAATCTTTTTGGCCTTCTGGAGTTATTTTCAACAGTATATTTTGCCAACAGTATTTACTGAGGTTCTGTTTCCCTGCTCTTTCATGGACTTTGTCACATGGTCAGTGTAGCTTGTCCYGATTTTTTTCCGGAAAATATCAGGGCTGCTTTGTGTGTGACACTTAAACCTTGATGTGATGTTGGAATGTGCTTGGATAGCACAGCCAGGGAAACTGGGAGGTGCTGTGAGAATCTGTGATCTTAGAAGTGGCCTGGGGAACAAGTCACCACTGGGTCTCCAGTTGCAAATGTGCATTTTTCAGGTATAACATTGCCATCCTTGTCGATGAAAAATGGCATTTTTTGACATAARATAAAACAAGTTAAATTGTAACTTGAATTTATTGGTATTTATAATTGTGATAAAAGATGCAGGAACAGGTCAATTTTTGCATAATAGTTTGAGTTACTTAGTTCTAAAGTATAGTGGTCCCACTGTATTTGAGGAAGAACTGCAGGTTTTCTGTGATTGAGTGTTGGCAGTCTAAATTCTGGTTTTTATTTATTTTTTTTCCTGCAGCCTGCTGGGTGATGAAACTGTGGAGTCTAAGCAGGATTTTTTTTTCTTGACCACAATTTCATACACTTGCATTTTGCGGATTCTCCCTATGCTGAGTGTATTTTTTTTTTTAAAAAATACTCTTACACTGTTAGCCCGGTAATTGAGAGGAGAGAGAGGAGGGCGACTCATTCTTTAAAGGGTTAGAACACGTGTTTGTGACTGAGCTTTACTGCATTAGTTACTGGTGCAATGCTTGTTTTACAGCTCCTACATCTTCCTCAGGCCCAAAGAGTCTACGGATAACATGAAAGCCATACGCTTCTCGGCTCGTGTTACAGTTATTATTTCAGATTTATGAGTTTTTTTTAATGTTTCTAAGCTTATTTTTCATTGCTTCATCTTTATGGTTGACACTAGCATCACGATTGTTGTAATGCAAGAATCATTTGTTACAAGTTGAAGATTATAAGTCATAACGTGAGATTAATGTGTTTCAGCGTGTGACTACATTACTCAGGGCTTGGCATTCGAAAGGGAAAAACTGATGGGCACCTAATTACCTGGTGTGCGTTGGAATGGTTTCATAGATCCAAGGCAGATGACACTGCTTGCATTTCCCTCCCGCAGGTGCACATGGACAAAAAAAGCTGCCAGGAATTTGTAATGTTTGAATGACTGGGAGCTGCTGTCAGTGTCATGTAGGAAACGTCGGAGGTACCTACGAGAGAGGATCACTTTCTAATCTCCTTCTGCATTGGGAAGGCATGAGATGAATTTCCAGCATATTAGGAAGACGTATACTGTAGTGGAATCTGCTATCYTGTATCTCCCAAGTGATCTGCTAAACCTGTTAATGAAAATGTTGCAATCCAAAATAAGGAATTGCTTTCCAAGGAAAGCAAATCAAATGGTAGCTCTTACATAATTCATTTGCTAGGGATTCCTACTTCATCTCAGCAGTTACAGTATATCCTCTTGATCCCTCTATGTTTTATACTTAAGGCTGACTTTATGTTGTCAGTGAAACACTCGTCTGTTGTGAAACAACTTGTGCAATATCTTGGCATTTTTGTTGCCAAAAATATATTGCAAAGCTGTGCTTGACCAGATATAAAYATATGAAATTGGTTATTAATAGAGAATAATTAAATATTTTAATAAATTGCACTTATTAAAATAGCTCTGGAAATGTCATAGGTCATGCTAATAGATAACTGTAGAGACTGTCCTTTTGTATGTGAACTATGTTGATTAGAAAGTGCCAAACCAGCGTAGCTTTGCCATTGGTTTTAATAGAACAAGGCTGAGAATTTGATTCTTCATATTTGAATAAATTTATATACTTCTGACCTTGGATTAAATTACATCTAACCAAAGAATTTACTAACTTCTTTATATAAATTAGTATCCTTATGCCCTCTGCAACTTTCTGAACTACTCAGGTAGATTATTTAGATACTATACCTGTGGTAAGAATAGTATTAATGCAAATTGCTTATTGTTTAAGAGGAGGTTTTTTTTTTTTTTTTAATTTACACTCTCAGGTTTTTCTAGAACAGCAGGTAGTTTATGTGAGTCTGAACTTGGTTGGCCCCTGTTCTGCAGAATCACAGAACCATTTGCTGAGAAGGGACATCAAGATCTACTTTCTTCTGGTAGAATCCAGTGTAGATTCAGAGTCCTCAACTCATCATACCTGTTCTTTAAACCTTCAGAGTGGAAATGCTCACAGATTTACTTCATCCATTTCAAATTTAAGGCTTTTTGAAGTTTTTCATCTGCCTGTAAAGTATATTAAGGAGTTTAGCTTTCTGTATTTCATGAGGRCCATTTTGTATGACACCTATAGCTTCTACTTGGCTTTCTTTTTCCTGTATGAATTTTTAAGAGCATGACACAACTTCCTTTGCTGGACTYCCGATTTGTCTGTACACTTATTAAGCACATAAACCGTAGTGCTTAATTTGTACGTTAATACCCTGGCTGAGGCATGCAGCAAGAGTGGAGCAGTTGCTTCTTCTTGTAACAACRTTTGCTTTGGTAATTCTGAAATGAGGTGCTCCCTGCTACGGAGGGAAGCTTGTTCAGCCTTTACGAGAGGAGGCTTCCTGGGGTGATCCTCTTACCCTACAGCTAATGGGAAGGATGCTCTGCAGTTGACAAGGTCAGACTTGAACGTGCGCAGTGGAAGAACTAGAGGCTTTGGGCACAAGCTGCAACGTGGAAATTCCAGGCTGATGTAAAGGGGAGTCCAAAAAAAAAAAAAAAACCCCAAAACCCCCACCCGTGAGGATGGCCAAACACGGAACCAGGTTACCCACAGGAGCTKCTGTAGAGTCTCCCTGTTTGGAGACCGCACAAACCCTTGAGCTGCCGCCTCTAGCTGGCCCTGCTCCCTGCTCAGAGCAGGGGCTGGACTAGAGGGCCTCTCAGAATCCTTCCTAGCATAAAGGCAAAGAATTGCCATCCCGGGGCTTCAGTTTAAACACAATTAGTTGGTCCCCAGGAGTAAGTGACTGCTGCAGAGGCAGTGTCAATAGCGTGTGTTGCATCAGCTCCAGTCAGCTGGTGTTGTCGCTKCCTTGTGTGAGTTCAGGCCTTGTGTGAGCGTGGTGAGTGACTCATTCTCAATCTACTTTCAGCCGCCTCACAGATTATAGCAATCTATTTTTTTATTACCTTAAGCACGGTTTTCATCCTTAATTATGTGTCTTTTAATTATCCTACTTATTGGCATGGAGCTTGTGAATGCAGCGATGAAGACTTAAGTTGTCATCTACTTATCAGTGCTGTAGTTGTTCAGGGCTTAGCTGTAAGCAGTCAGAAGCTTTTGTGCAAGTAGGAGCTTGACTTACTGTAAAGTATGTAAACCGTGTATACTGTAAAATATGCACAATCTCCCTAGAAAATTAAAACTGGGAGAGTGTTTTAATTTAGTGTAAATGTTGTRTGAGAATACAGAACACGACAATTAGTGAAAATTTTGACAGCCCTAAAGAAGGCTTATTTTCTGCCTAGAAAATTTACGTTGAAAAGAAGTTGGGAATTGGCCTTTTAGAGGAAAAGCTTTTTTTCCGTTTTTCCCTTAGGCGCCTTGGCTTTAGTTGAAGGGGAGCAGCTCCAGGGGAGCGGGGCCCGTGTCCGGCGCCGCGGCGGGACGCGCGGTGCCGCCGGATGGGGAGCGGGCACCTTGCCCGGGCGCGCGGCTCGGGTGGCAGCGGGCGCCTATGTTTAGACACCCGAGCGCAGCGCTGCTTAACGTGACCTTTTAGCAGGAGCCGGAGAATAGATAGAACCAACGGGGGAGTCATTGAAAGGAAGGTGSTTTGGGGGGTTTTGTCGTTGTTGCTTTCTCCTGGCTAAAGTTTTCTTAAAACAYGGCTATGTCTTTAGAGGCAGCCTTCAGTTAAAGTCTAGCTTTTTGATTCTCTGTATATCCAAGTGAGTTGTGTGCTGTAGTTGAAGACCTGTTACGGAGTCTGCACCTGTGCTCTCGGGTACAGAGCCTCTGTTCATAAGTATTTCTGGGAGGTGAGAGGCTTTGGAGAGAAACTGCTGTTCACATTTGAGGTATGTCTTAAACACTGCTGAATGCCTTCAGATTTCTCAGTTATTCAAATTATTCAGATATGCAGGTTGTCTCAAGATTGTCACTATTCTGAAAGCCCGGGAGTTAGTAGTTTAATCCTTCAAAGGTTACATAAGAGAAAGCTTAAAAGTGTGCAACTGCTAGTAACAACTGCCTAAATCCACACGCTCTCCTTCAGCAACCACAACAAAAGTTGGAAATCTGTTCCCAAGCATGGAATGTAGGCTTTTGGGTGAGAATTATAAACCGACTGCGATGGTGAAAGGGGGGACCTCCCTCCTGCCCTCGTCTCCCTGCCTTGAACGCTGCTGCTTTTGCCGCTGCCCTGGTGCTGGCCTGAACTTGCTGCTGCTATGCTGACAGATTGCTCCATCTGAAAGTGTCTTCTGGTAACTTAGCTTATTATGTCTCTTTCAATATTAATAATGTTCACMTACAGCCTTCTTCCTGATCTGCACTACGCTTGTCATTGCAAAGTAGCATTTTGTTATGTATAATAGTCCTCCTGTACAGACGTACAGGACGTCTGACATACTACAAGACGTACTAACCTTCTCCTATAAACCGCCTTTTGCTAATGTTGCTCTATTAGAGAGGTATCCTCTCTGGGAAAAATAAGTTGTATTTCTTAGAGAGCTTAATTTAGGTTTCTGTGTAGCACTGCTAAGCCCACAGCATTCAACAAAGCTTGCACTTTAAATAAGTGCTGGGCAGGGAAGGGGGAGCTGGCACCCACTTAGCTCCCGTCCCGTGTGTTTGGCAGCTGCTGGACAGGGGTGGTGGCGCCCAGGAAACACTGTGCTGCACCACAACAAATGCAGCTTGACGTGGAGATCCATAAAAATAATCTAAAACATGTAACCGAACCCCGTTTGCATGTTGTTTACTGCATGGCTCTAAAGATTGAGGTATAATAAAAAGGAATGGTAATTATAGAAACTGCCACATTGGATTTATTTTTGGTTTGGTTCCATGATGCTACAGCTTCGCTGATGAGYTGTTGAAGTTGGCATGCCACTTCTTTGCTCTTGATCGACCCTGATTAAAAAGAAGTCATTGGCACTTGCCATTCTGCTGCTGTTCAACAGAATCCTGTGGGCAGAAGGCAGGCTGTTCTTCAGGGGGTGCAGACTGTGAAAGTTTTGCTGCTTACAACTTGAACGAAATACACTTCAGACTAATGATGCCCTCCCAGAATGGTTCATCTCTTTAAACGTTGCACACTGCTCAGCTCATCATTTCCCAGCAAGTATTTCCCTTCAGACCCTAGGAGGGAAGCCGGCGCGGCCGGAGGAGGTGGCTCCGCACGGCTCCGTACGGCTGCAGCTGGGCGGCAGCTCTGCTGCTGGGAAGTGAGGTGCGTTCCTGTTTGCTCCTCATTCTCTGGAGTCGGATCTCATCTCTGCTGGCTCCTGCCTGAAACCTGGCCTGGGTGCGGTTGTAGACTAAGGCTAATACTAGGGGTTTTTGCCCCACAGTTAAAATGCTCAGGACAGCGGGTGGCAAACCTGCTGTCTTGCCAGAGCCGAAGCTGCCCGGCCAGGTGCCTTTCCCAGGGTCCCTGTGGGCCGGCCCGCAGTCGGGTACCTGTCAGCACCTGAACCACGTGCTTTAGGCCTAGTTATGACTCCAAAGAGAGAGCAATTCCCAAAAGGAAGGCCGATTTAAACATGATGAAGAGAGCGAGATGYGCAGCTGTTGGTGAAGAGGGATAGCAGATGACCGCAATGGACGGAGAAGACACTCCAGACGGATTTGGGGGGYTTGGGGGACCATCCACATTCACAGCTGAGCATGTTAGGCCCCAGACAAGGTGCGTGGGCTCCTTGCCCCACACCAGAGCAGAGGCCCAGCCATGGGGCTGCTGGAGGCAGCAGCAGCGCACGGTGCCTCAGGCGCTCGCGTCCGTCGGAGCCGCTCGTCCCTTTCGGAAGGGAGAGCAGCCATTCATGGTGGTTGGGTCTATGGTAGAGAAGATGGTTAAAAGAAAATGCATAAATTATTTCTTTTTAGGTAGCTATCTAAAGCTTATTGCAATGATTTCTTAAAATATGCAGGCTGTGTGTACTTTCTGCAAAGCTTCTGAAATCCTGCTGCTGTGAGCTGGGGGGGGATCATGGGCTTGATGTTGGGAACAAGTGCTGGYCTGAAGCGTTAAGCCAGGTTTTGACAGCATGAGGCTCAGGCGGAATAGCTTTAGCTGATATTTTTTTTGTTTTGCTCTCTGTCTATTCATTTACTCCCTAAGCTGAGAAATTGGTTGGTAGCAGTTGTTTCTTATTCTTCTTTCTAACATGAGTRAAAAAATAAGATATGGGTAACATATAAGTTTAAATGAAAGATTCTTGTCTCCATCTTTAAATTGCAATAAAATTGKCAACATAAATCGATTTATCTTGGCCCTTAGCATTCTGTTCAGCAAGGAAGAATGGCAGTGGTTGTGGAGCTCCAGCTCCGGTTCCGAAACATGCCCATGCTTCCTCCCCAGGCTAGCCAGGCAGCCTGCCCCTGTTCCAGAGGTTTCAAACAAGCTAATGGATGCTCTGCTTACACATTTAAAATTGCAAACTTGTTACAGACAGACTAATTCTGTTGTAAAATATTTGCGTGATAAACTTCTGGCTGCCTTGAGTCAGATAAACAGTCGTATTAGTGTCAGTGAATCTGATTCGGTTTTGAAACTGAAGTACTGTTTACTTTTGCAGGCTAGAATTGACTTATGTCATGAATTTTGTCCATGTTCGTAGACAAAAAATATGTATGGACCCACTGATACAATAGCAGCAACTCTGAAAATCTGAAGAAGTGTCCCGAAAGGGCAAAACCAAATGCAGGGTCTGTTACTACAGAAATTTTTGCACAGAAGTTCAGAATTTGTGGTTTTCTATTTTTAATGTTTCATAGAAGGGAATACCTTTATTTTAGGAAGGACTAGGACAGAAAATACAATTAGCAGTTGAAATACAAATCACTGAAGTGCCCAGCCAAGGGAGTTGGTTTTTTTTTTTCCCCCCACATGGAATATGAAAAACTACCATCTCCCTTACAAACAAATCTGATTTTGCTGGTGATAAACTGTGTTAGATGAGTAAAGATGTGAGCAATGGACTTTGTCACAGACCCATAAACTTTTTTTCCACTCCCAAAAGGCAGATATTTGGTAACTTCCAGAAGGGCCATGAAAGGCCTAGAATCTTACATTTGATTCCCCAATGCTTTGGGAATTTAAAGCTTGACATGCTGTGGTGTTAGCTACCTCAAGGTGGCTTTCGTAGCCTTTTAATGCAGTTGGGATTTCCCCGACCTTGGAACCTCCTTACTCACAGGTTCCTCCGTGGAGTGTCCAGCAGAGCAGCACTGAAGGTGTGGAAATAGAGGCTGGACAGTTGCCTTGCAAGGAAGGAGATGAAGCTTCCAAATCAARTGGAGAACATTGCTTTCTAGTTTGCCTTTGCTTTCTAGTTTGAGTGGCACAGTTGACAGACCACCTTGACTTAACAGTCAAGGTTGCTTTATGTGCCTTCCTTGGTGCTCTTTCTTACATCTGCGCTCACTCTCTTTGTTCCCTGCAAGTTACTCTTTCCCACACATTTTTTCCTCCTCTCACTCTTTGAGCTGCTGCTTGTCTTACAGTGCAGAGTGGTTCCTGCTGCTGGGGCTGACCACAGTCCTTGCCCAGGACCAGTCTTTGGCTTAAGAAGACAAGCTGATAGCTTAAGTTCTTCAAGGAACTAATTGGGAAAAATTGAYTTGAATTTTCTGTTCCACATCATAACTTATCTTTCTGTCTTTCAAAAATTTGATCTGCTAATTTRTTAGTCGTTACTTGCCCCAACCTCACAGATGTGTAATATTGGCAGTCTCTTAAATTTGTTTTTTTCCTTTACAGACTGAGACAACAATTGGCCTCAGTTCATATCAACAGAAAAGGTAAGCAYGATCTTTCTAAGTTTGATATAACTAACTTAACTGTGAGATTAGTGGTGTTTTTCCATTAAAATAATTATAAAAGTATAAGCAAAGCTAAATACAAGTCTTGTAATCTTTCAATTATTTATATCAGAGAAATTTAAACTAAGAAGTGATATCAGATYGTGTTCGCTTTGAACTATTGTTTAATATTTTTATGTATAGAAATACTTCTGCTAGATAATCTCATTTTATGTGTGTAGAACGCGTGAAAGACGTGGACAATTATTACCCTTAAGAAAATTAGCCCACTGTGATCATATTCAAAATGTTATAATTGAATATCAAGAAGATTTGGACAACTAAATCGCTTAGTATATGGAGTAAGCAATTAAAAACTTGAAGATGCTGAACTGCTTATTTTTTACTTTACACACTGCAGTGTACATTAATGTAATTTTGTGGAAATAGGGAAGAAATAAACGGAGATTCTACTTGGTGAGACGACTTTAAAATAAACTCTATTTTTTTTTGTTGGGAGAAAAGACGACCTTTTCCATATTTATTTACCTTTTAAAATGTTTACCTTCAAAACTGTGGGACCTCAAAATTTAGCCTCACAACAAACAACTTAATGGAATATATCTAAAATGACATCATCATACTTTTTTCTAGGAAAGCTGAATCTCTTATTGGAGAGCTTTGCATGTAGGATGCCTGAGAAGAGGGCGCTTTTCTCCCTAATCCCTAGTATTTTTTTCTTAAGACCCTTGAAATACTCCTTTGCATTTAATAGATTGCACTGAATGTCAGTAATGACATATGCTTCTCCTACAGTAGTATTCAMCTCAGTGGGATGTAAAACATAGCTTTAGTAAGTTAAATACAGATAGTTTTTTTTTCATAGACTGTTCCATTTTCCTTTCCTGTGCTGGATGCCTAATTCTGAGAAGTCCAGTAAAATGACTTTTATTTCTTGATTCAGAAGATTGTGTGCAAAGTGCCTGTTGTTGTGTGTATAAGTGCTTAATTTTGGGCTTAAGAGTCTCTCTTGGCAACAAATTTTGAAAAATCTCTAAAAAAATGGCTTTTTAGTGGTTTGTGTGGGTTTAGTGGTGGTTGTTTCTGCATTTTAAACACATTCAGTCATCACTTATCACCAACATATCCTGCTTTCTGATTTGACACCGACCTAAATCTTGTGATGTTAATTCCTTGAGTACTGTAGAAATGTGGCAAACTTTGGCCTAGCTAACATTAAGTTTCTAGACATACTTGGAATTTTGCGGGGTGGGGAGAGAGGTGGTGAATGTGAAGATTTTGAGGAATCACGCAAGGAAGTGGCAACCTTTCCACTACATCTGAATTTAAAATAAATCCTCTCATCATCATAGAGAAAATCAGCCTGTCATAATAGCACATCATAAAAGAGTTAATRCTTAATATTATGCACTGAAATGAGGCCATTGCTCTAAATATTTTTAAATGAAGCCTGAGGCAACTCATATATTCAACTAACACAAATTTTGTTGAGTTGTGTTTATACCAGTTTCTCATTTGTGTTTTAATTAAAGAAAAAAAAAAAAAGAAGCTTAGTTGTATCCTTCTGCATAAAATTTTAATCTTATTGTTGCTGTGTCTTCCCTGAATCTTTCTTCCTTCTTTTTTCCCCTGCAATGAATTGAGGCATCTCTTYGCTTCAGGACCTCTGCCCATTCATTTCTGAGTCTCTAACTCCACTTATGTTAATTGAGTCTCTAMACCAAACGGTCCAGAAAACACTATTGTTAAACTCATTTCTTTAAACTCATTTCTTAATCCAGMTTCTTATGCTGGGTTAAATAAGCACCACTGGGATATATTTTACTGGATTGTWGACAGAAATAATCGCTTTCAAATATATTTATTCCATGATAATTTTTCTTTTAATTGCGTGCAGAGGATCCTTCAGTTTGTGTAACTGTAACTGTGAAAGTGAATTACCACCTGTAAGGTCTGTTAGACTTTATATTTAGTGTTATATAAATTACACTTTCCTGGCTGCTCTGACATAGGTTAAGTGTGCGAATACCCAACTCTGTTGTCAAGATAAAATAGGAATGATTTTGCAGTGATCAAATTTAAATCGCTGTGTCTTTTCATCACTGTTTACTAAGATTTTCTCACGTTTTGTTGTCTTAAACTGCTTGTGTCAATCTATGCTCGTTTCCCTCTGTGAAACTCGTTTTTTTACGCAGCAGTAGWAGAAACCTTTAAATTTCATTGCTGAAGTTCTCTTGAATGTAGAAAGTTAAATAAGGAATGCTTAATACTTCCAAAGAACATAACCAAGTAGGTCATACAACGTTATTATTAATACCAGCTTCCAAAACTGACTTGGTTTTCAGTAAGCCAGCCAGCCTAAGCTGCCCACCCATTGCTGTTATCACGGAACCGCGGAAGGGCTGAGCTTGGAAGGGGCCTCTGGAGAGCAGCTAGTCCAACCCCTGCTCCAGCAGGGAACTCGCMCGTGAAGTTAGAGCTCCTGGGGCTTCTGGCCGCTCATTTAACTCCAATAGGACATGAGTGCTCGAAGGTGATGGCACCCAGGGTGCCTGCATGTCCCGTCTGCCAAGGAATCTCCCCCCAGCCATGGGGCAGGCCAGTGGTGCCCATGGCTCTGTGGGCACAGCCCGTGTGGGGCTCGTGGCTCGTCACCTGGTCCCACCAGTGGGGATGGGCTTGTACAAAGTGCYGTATGGAAACGTGGATTTAGGAATCAAGCTTACGGGCGTAAACGACTCATGAGTCCAAGAATTTTGAAGTCAGGCACTGCAGAGGAATAGCTCRTGCTGAAGGGTGTCTTGTATGTCACGTATTTAAAAGCAGTAAAACTGAAATACCTGGGCTGACTGTTCCAAACAGCTCAGGTAGGCTCTTCATCTTGGTCGTTCACTTTATTGTGGGATTTTTCTTTAAAAAACCCTGCAATTTAGAAATAACCAGAATCAAACGGAGTCTGGTTTACTCTGTGGGCATTGATCTCCGAGACAAGAAGCATTCGCTTAGATCTCGTGCCTGRTTTGTAAGACTTAGTCTGTGAATTCTCCGCCTTTGAGGTGATTTTATCATGTCTAAGCCTATTTTGAGTCAATTTAGTTACTTAATTTCTAATCTGCATAGAACTCTCTAGTCATCAGTACGATTCCCCTCTGCAATCATTGCTGCAACCTCTTTGTGACCTTAAAACGGAGAGGGGTGAGTCACGGATTCCTCTCYTGTGGTGGCACCTACCAGAGCAGCTCTTTGCTGCTGCTTCAGTAAGGTAACCAAAAGCTAAGCTGTAATATTTAAAAAAAAAGAAAAAAAATCAAAAGTGAGGTTAAAAGAGCAGAACTATGACCTTTCTGTCTTAAAAAGACAGTCTTAAGTGTTCTGCCCTGACTTGTGCTTTTAGAAGATGCAAGATGAGATTAGGCAATGGAGTGGCTCCCTTTTTCTGCTGACTAGCTCTTGGCATATAGAGAATCATTCTTGCCTTTCTGAAAAGAAACTGCTAGCTTGGGGGCTTTTGTGCCTGTGTGGTTTTATTTGGAAGCATTTACCAAAGAAAAAACAAAATTTGGAGCATTATTTTTGTTAATGTTATTAATGATTTTCAGCTGGACCTTCTGTAACAATTGAAATACTTTTTTTTTTGATATCTCTGAACTGCAGAGCTGCAGGTTCACAAGCTGTTTACTGACTTGCTTACAGAAGCTTTTGTTGAGAAAGACATGGGGAGCTTTTATAATTTTACACTCTGTAATGCCTGCTGCRTTATAGACTGTCCAATATACTGCAGGTAGACCAACGTACTGCAGAGACTCGCTTGCAGGTACGTGGCCATCGTGAGAGGCCGTGGGAAAGCCTCACATTCCCCAGGGCCTCCAGTGGGAGCCTTCCCCCTATGCTTTACATACTCATCCTGAGCCCATTTACTGCGTGGAAGAATGGAGCAGAAGAGCAGCCCGGTCACCCCGTCTCTGGCAGGTGTCAAAAGGCACAGGGATGTGGTGGAGTGCAGGATTCCTCTCCCAGGAACTCGCCGAGGCCCTTCCCAATGCCAGCCGAGCCCCTCGCCTGTGCAGGGGCCTTTCCCAAGGGATTTTGTGCTGCAGGCCCAGGCGGTGGCGGGACCCSCTGCGCCCACACGCCTGTCTACCGTGGCCTTCCCGCGGCGATGCTTGGCCCTGTGATCCCTGTGGTCGGCCTTYCCTGAGCTCTTCAGCCCTTTGTATCTCTAGCTGCCTCCGTTGTCCAAAGAAGAACCTGCTCTGACTGCTGCGTGAAGGATCTTCCAGGCTCACCGTCACCGTCAGAGCCAGCTCAGCGCTGCCAGAGTGCCAGAAATGGTTTAATTTCTGTGGGCAGGGGCACCCTGCTTCCTGCAGCCTTCTCCACCGCACAGTTGATAAACTRTTGCTTTAATGTGCAGTCTCACTGCAGCTGGCAGAAACCCGTGTTTTGTTGGTGCATGACGTGATGACTTTACATAAATAAGCAGCACAGGATTTAGAGAACATAAATTTCTCTTATTTACTCTCTTTATTCCCTGTATGAACTCTTGCAAGACTAACTTTTCATGTTGCCTCTTCCGGCGGAGGGTTTTGAAGGTGCTGCAGAGCGTTGGCCAAGTGTAGCGGCCAAGCCAAGAGCTGCAACGTGCCGAGCCTGTCAGCTGCTCAGCTAAAACCAGGTGTCCAGGCTCCCTGTTATGAGCTGGTTGCTCRTCACTGGCTGCCCCGGTCACACGCTGCACCCACCTGCATTTTTGACAAATAGCAATAGATGCAGAAGATCCCACCTTGGTTTTGCTCAGGTCGTGCAGGTGTTTACATCTGTGCGGGACACAAGTTACCTGCGTGGCTTCCGCAGAGCGTCGTGTGTCGTGTTGGACCAACAGCCTCTCGGCAGGAAGCAGAAACCCCAGGGGAGCTAAAGGTCTTGGAGGAGCTTTCTGGAATGCAGGGGGAGGCAAATGCCAGGCCGGGAATCCGTGGCACCTGGGCGGCTCCTGGGAAGCGGTGGGAATGGGGCAGGGAGCTGGGGCTCCGTGGAAGGAGCTGCTGCCTCCCTCGGGGCTGTTGGTGCCTGCARTTCCCATTCCCCCCCAGGAACCAGCTGCCCTGGGTGGTATAGGAGAAGGCAGCCGAAGTCATGGATTGGGTTTGGGTTTAGGCTTTCCTACCTTCATGTCTCACTTGAGACTCTTTTCTCTGTTCAAGTTTTCCCTGTTCTAGGGTGTATCCTAAGCAAACATGGCTTTGCCAGCCTGAAGTATCTCCAGTTTTGCCCCTTCTAAGAGGAGTGTGTAGTCCATTGCATTTAAGAGTCTTAGTCTGCTTGGGATTCAGTCGCAGTGTGATAAAGATTTGCATCATAGACTTTTCAATGGCGTATTACAAAGCAAAGGCTGGGTTTGCTGTCTGTGCATTATTGTTTTCTCATTCATCTTTTTTTTTTTTCAGGTCTTTCTAGATGTTTGTTCAATGGAGTTGCTAAAAAATGAATTTCTTGTCCATGTTAATTTCTATAGGTGAATTTCTTGTCCATGTTCTTAACTTCTCTAGGTGACTTTTCTTTCATTGTCATTAGTGACTTTAATGGCTCCTTCTTGGTATAACTTAGAGATTTCTTCCCTATCTAGACAAATTTATTCAGCCTTTGATCTCCTTTTAAAAACTAATTGGAAGGAGGGAAATGAACTAGCTGTTTAACATTGGGGTTTGTTCTTGCCCACGGTGCATCTACCAAAGTGTCTCCCTGCTTATTACCCCAGCCCAGTCCCTCGTGAAGTCCTGACTTTGAAGTTTAACCTTTGATACCATTAATATGTTCCCTTGATAGGAGGTTGGCGTAACTGAGCCAACCACGAGCTGGGTGGAGTTTGTGAAAAAACCTTTGTTGTTCATTTTCTTATTTATCAGCATTTACACGATGATAARTAACTGGCAGTAGCCGCTGCTCTAGATGGTCAAATATTTGATGGCAGCTCTTCAGCTCCTGGGAAGTAATTTTGTGATTAATAACCATATTTTGAACATCATCTTACGTATCTATAAAATCTAAATACATTTTTGTGTATACGTGGCTCAGCCTTGTGTGTTAATATTAACACCTATTTGCTGCACACGGGGAAATCTGATCGCCTGCTTTCCAGCCAAAAGGATTCTGTCTTTGAGGTGGTTCTTTCAAGGATATCCTGGCACAGAAAGAATCCCTGTGAAACGTTTACCACCTTCATCACTATAAAAATCCTCGTTGGTTTTTCTGGAGACACTTTCACTGCGTTGTGCTRTTAGAAATAGCTGAGTATTTAGGGCTTGCATTGAGTTTGCATTGCTAAATGAAATGAAGAGATCTCCTGTCGTTTGGCAGCTTAGTGCCAGTGTCTCTAGTTCTTTTTATTGATGATTTATGTCCCTCAAGAGAAGGAAAAGCATTTTAAAGAGCTGCCAAAGTAATATGGGAAAAATAAGGTGTAGAGCAGTGCTTAAGTGTGAGTTTTCCCCAGTGWAAGACGTGCAGATAAGGGTGCAGGGAAGGCAGAGCTCCTCCAGCAAGCCCCTAGGGACACCGGGGGAGCGGAGGACGCAGAGGAGCCGGTACCACCCAGCACTGCGGAAAATCCTGAGGATTTGCCGGGTGTTTTGGTCCCCTGCACATGTGGAGGTGCCGGGTGGTAACTCGGAGTATCAGTGCCGTGTGTKTGTTGAACAGCCAAACGTCCCAAGTGCTGCGGGGCATCCCTAGGCCGTGAGGCTCCGCGGGCATCCCTAAGCCTGTGTCCAAGTGTTGCTCTTTGGGCTTCTTGATAACTGTGTCCATGATCCAGCCCCTTTTGGATGTGATACTGTGCTCCGGGGAGTCACCCGTGGTAGGAGTTGGCTCTTGGTAGCAGTGAAGTAGCTCTGGTCGCTGAGGGAAGYGTCCTCTCGCTTCCGTGACAGAGCAAGTGGTGCAGGAAGGGCAGTAACGTCTCGGGATTCAGTGTTGAAACCAAAACCCTGGAGCAGGGGAAAGGCTTGGGGGTGCGTTAAAGCACTCCCAGGAACTAGTTATTCCYGAGGCTGCCCAGGCTCACGGCGCTTCTGGCTGCTCCCTCCTCCGCTGGAGCTTGTTGGCAGGCTGTGGTAGCCCTCCCTTTCAGTTGCCTCTTCCCTTTTCATGTGCTTCTTGACTTTGAAGGGTCAAAAACCTTGGAGTGGCAGGGGAATAAAAACGTTTAAGTTCTGGCTTAACACTGGGAGCCCCAGTCTCTGTGCATACCCAGTAACTGCTTTGCATGTGAGGATGCCGTGGAGAGGCCCTGCCCGTGGCTGTCTCCAGCCTGCAAGCCGGCCCACGCTGCGGCTCCCGCGGGGCAAAGCTTGGGAATTCCRGAGGGAATTTTTCCCCATTGGAGCAATGTTGCTCCTGTAACCCYGGGCCCGGCTTGTGATGCAGCAGCCTTCAGCAAACTGGGGCAGCTCAGGGGCCTGGGGAGCAGATGCTGGAGCAGAAGCTCTGCAGGTTGGGGGGTGCCCCATGGGGAAGGGGCACCGTTTCTGGGCCGTTTGCATGGATGTTGGCAAGATTCATGAGGCTGTTTTAGCTATTTTATTCCTTTCAGGAAGACTTGGAGTGAGTGTTCAGGTGCAGTCTGCAAGCTGGCCGTGAAATTTCATAGCGAGTCAATGTCTAAAKAAAGCTTGTGGTTGGAGGTATAGCRCCTTGTCCGACATGGTGAGCTTTATATTGCTCCAATGTTTCCCTCTTGTCAGTAAAAGCAAAGAAAAATCCACACGTTCAGGTGTATTGGGAAACAAAGGTAATAGCTGTTGTGCCAAATATTATACTTCATTTTTGTGATCCCTATAAATATTTTTGAAAACTTCCCTGTAAATGGATTGGTTCTTTTACAAGCTCCACATGAGGCGTGCTGGCTGCTCGTAACTTGGGAGTTGGAGGCAACCTGTGTGTGGTGCTGAAAAAAACTTATTTTCAGGAGCATTCCAGAATAAGAGTAGTTGAATTTTAGGATTATATTGATAAGAAATGCATGAAGCTGTTGCACTTGTCCATTTAGACATGCCCAGCTTTTGTTGTGTTTTTTTTTTTTGCAAAATGGGAGCATTAACTTCAGCGAGCAGGGGACTTTGAAGGCTTGTTTGGACCCTTGGGAATATCCCCGTTAACGCAAGATTTTTCCTGTGAGGATAAAGCTGGTTTTAACGGCTCATCTCCGGGAAGTGTTCAGGCTACCTCAACATCCTCACTGMGAGAGGTGTAAATGAGAGGTGTCTCTGTTCCCTGGTATTATACCTCAGAATGAGTCGTGGAGTGCTGTTGGGAGTCGTTAAGGTTTTTATATACATAAATATATAAATTTATGAAGTCTGCTTTTTGTGCCATTATCATCACCCAGGTCTAGGCTACTGGAGAACATCGCTAAGTTTCCATAGCCCATTTAGCCCCATTTAGGGATTTTTAGCTTCCGTAAATAGTTGCCTGTGGAAGTGGAGTGTGGAAACGTGTCTGATTTTGTTCATTAATTAGCGTTCCTGGAGGTGCCTGGAAGGAATGGGCTAATTCCAGTTGCCTGGAGTTCTTCAGCTGAGCCCTGGGTGTCCTCCGGGCCCCTTCCTTGCTCTTCCCTCAGCTCCTGGCCCCACGGCCCCGGCTGCCCTTGGGAATGCTGCCTCATGGCTTTGGGCGTCCAGCTGCTGATGCACAGTCAGAAAGCAAAGACAGACCAGAAGCATTTAAAGAAAAAAAGGTGCCAACAGCACAACTAGTTATTGTCAGGTAGCAGCCTGAGCCTGGGCCCACGCGGCTCCGGTGCTGGGCCTGGCTTTGGAAGGTTTCATCATCCTTGGCGGAGCGTGAGCTTGAGATCATCGAGATTTTTAAGGGGAAAAAAACCATCGTGATGTGTCGGAAAGAATTTATGTAGGTCAGTGTTTTGCATCGCTAGGCCCAGTAGCTTGATCAGATAAGGAGTGCCGCGACCTGAAATTGCTTGTAGTCCAACCAGTAGCCTCATTGTTTTCCAAAKGCTCCTTTGTCTTTTCAAGTGCAGGTCACGCAGGCTCCTCCTCTGTCCTACATATCTTATCTGACCCCGCTGCCACATCCAGAGCGCTCTGCTTCCAGGCCCAGCTCCTTGCCTGCCTTTCCTTGGGCAGTCCAGGAACCGTTGGTCTTGAGCCCTTGTTTTGCCCTTTTCTGCTTAGTTTTTCACTCTTCCCTCCCTGTTGCATGTGCATTTTTTATTTAYGTGTATGTATATGTCTGTATCTGGATTATAGTCAATCCCAAATAAAGGCTTGCTGACCTACAGACAGGCGTGGGCACAGTCGCTTCATTCTGGATTCAGACATGGGTCTGTCAGTGAAACCACATTTACTTCTTGTTGTAACTTACGTTCTGGGTTGTCAGCTGTAGAATAAACCTCGCAAGCGAGCGTTCCCAGGTAGTCTTTAGTGCTGAATTGCTGAGTGATTCCTGAATTTTAGCCTCTGCCTACGGGCAACCTCCCAGACGGTTCTCGAGGGGGAAGCTGGTCCAAGCCAATGCAGTTTTCAGGGTAGAGCTGCTGTCTGTTGGAGACTAGCGCAGCCAGAGCAGCTCCTCATGCTCTCAGTGGCTCCGTTCTGTGTCTTGGGCAGGACACCTGGATGCGAAAGGTAATCTAAGCCTATTAGTTGGCTTATTCCTTACCCTGGTTTTCCTGTGCGTGTGTAATGGGCAGCGTTTGAGTTACGGCCACCCTCCAGGTTTGTGCTCTTGCGTCACCTCTCCTGGAGCATCCGAGAGTCCCATGCGGTGGGACGGCAGCCGGCGGGCTGCGAGCTTGCCTGGCTGCCCCTGCCTTGGAGCGGGTTGGGTTGCTCGTGCTGGCGTTAGCGGCTCCTTCACCCCTAGAGGATGGCTTGARGTGGAAGGAGAGCCAAAGCGTATCCCCTAACGATATCTCTTACAGCACTTTGTTTTTCCTTCTTGCAGTGTATCCTTGTATCGGGGAAATTGCCGACCTCTCCGGTTTGAGCCACCAATGCTGGACTTCCACGAACAGTAAGTTGGAAAAATCTTTTGGATCAGCCGCCCTCGCGGGGCGGTGTGGCCAGTGTCCGTGAGCGGCGCCGGCGCGGTGTCCGTGGCGCGGGTGGCCTGCGTGCCACGGGATCAGGAGCTGGGATCCTGACTTTCCCTTGGAGACGCCCTGTATGGCAGGAACGGTATCCACGGTGCCGGTGGCCTCCCGGGAGGCCGGTCCGAGCAGCCGGGAGCGCCGCTGCGCTCCCCCTTCGGCCGCCGCCGCCGCCGGGGGTCAAGGCTGCGACTGCCCCTGCGGCCGGTTCCTGCCCTCTGCGAGGGCTCCCCGCGAGAACAGGGAGAGGGGCGAGCCCGGGCCCTGAAGCCAGGCCGGCCCTCGAGCCGTGGGGCCTCGAGCCGTGGGGCTGGGCCCCACAGCTTGAGGCACCCTGCGACTGCCGCCTCGCGGGCGCCCTCAGGGCTCGCAGCAGCCGCGGCCGTGCCCGGCCGTGGGGATGGAAGAAGCRCAGAAGGAAGCTCGGGTTTGGCGCTGCCGGAGATGCTCCTCCCGGCTCTTGGAAGCCCCAGTGCTCCCAGAGCTGCCCTAGCGCCTCGCTTCCCTCTCCAGGAACTGCTGGCCCCGCACAGGCGGCCGCGCTCCCTTAACCTTAAAAAATAGCAACAGACACCGTAGATACGTGCGCTCTGTGCGTGATGGCTGAAAACTCGACACAACGTGGCCTGAGCGAGGCTGTTCCCAACGCTTTTGTTCCCRTTCCCACACGGGAAGGACGCAGCCAGCGGCGGGGCCGCGCGTGTCCCCACGGCGCGGGCGCTGCGTGCGGAGCAGCAGCTCGGCAGGAAGCTCCGTTGCACAAAAGCAGCCTCGGAGCCCCGGGGAGCCCGGCCGTGCAAGGAAGGGCTGGTGGTGTCGGGCGGCGCGTTGGGGCTCTCAGTGGGGCAGCCCACTGCTTAGGACGGCGCACTGGCTTAGCCCACGCTTAGGCAGCACGCTTGCTTAGGACAGGCAGCTGTCCTAACCACGAGCCTGGCTGCCATCTCTGCCAAGGCAAGCAGCGCAGCTGGAGGTGCTGCCTGTGAGTGGGGATCTGTGAGCACCAAACCAAGAGCTTTTGTAAAAAGTAGCTAGAAAATAAGTGAAGTTCTCAGTTTTCAGTGATAATTACAGATTTTTTTTTTTTTTTAGCCTTGAGATAGGCTTTTCTACAGCTTTTCTAATATGAGCGTGATATATTCTGCAGGCAGAAATCACTCCCCTCTTAAAATCAGCCAGGGTTTCTGTAAGGCATCAAAAATAACCTTTAAAGAAGGTTGAGGTCTGCGGCTGCAGCCCGCCCTCAAGGCGTTCAGCAGCAGCGCGGTGGCTTTGGCAGGAGCCTGCCGTGTCCCCGGCCTCCTGGGCCCGACAGGCTGCAGGCGCCAAGCAGCTCGCCAGCCAAATAATGCGGAGTTTAGTGGGAGTTTTTGTCCTTTTTTTGATTTTTCCAGCTGTTCTTTCAGGCGGCCTCGCAAGGAGGAGTCTCAGCTGTTTGAATATTCCGATCCTGCCGGCCCCGCTGCGAGCGTGGGGCTGGAAGTAGCTCAAGAGAGCGGGGAGTTAGCAAATTAGTTCTCCTCTTTCAGGAACTTTAGTTCACAGCAGTAAATACAGGAGAGTTGATTTTAACGAGTGGAGAGCTTATCCGGATCCTTATTTTTCTTTTATTTTTAACCAATGAAAGGCCTTAAGTACTTGAAATATGCAACCACRTATTTATACTGTACATTCAATACATATTTTAACATATGGGAAGTTGAGATCTTTAAAGGAGAAAGCTGCGGAATTGAGCTTTCCCGTTTCTGCTGGGATTTTGTTAAAGGCAAGAAGACTTCGGGCAGTCGCTTGGCGTTTAGTCCAGACCTGCCCTGTTTTGGTCGCGTATCCCGTGAGGCTGCGAGCGAGGGGGCAGCTCCTGACACCCCTAACCCGGGGGTCACAGGCTAAGACTGCTCTGTGGATGGGATCTTGGTGACTCCTTGGAAAAAGTCTCATTTATCCGTGTGGGATCCATGTTTGCTCCTGCACACGTGAAGAACAGCGCGTGYCCCGTTTTGTGCTAAGCAGGGACTAACTCCTGGTCAAGCCTAAAGCAGGAGAGCTGTCTCRGTCTGTGAAGGGCGGTGGGACCTGGAAGCTGCTCAGCGGCCTGGGCCCACGTGGTGGCCCCTCCACTTTCCTCTGCTCTTCTCCCCATGGGGCGTCTGGGCCCCCTCGGGTGCCTCYGTGTTGGGGCTCCGGTTGGGAAGGGGCCTGTGCGGCCGAGAGCCGCGCGGTGTCGGCTCGGAGCGGGGTTTGCCGGGCTCCGGGAGCGCGGCCCGGCTCATGGAGCCGGCAGCGACACGCCGGTGGCCCCGGCTCCCTCCGGAGGGGCCCCACACGCAGCCCCACGGCGCCAGGCCCCGCTTGCTGGCGAGCTCCCTGCCCCACGGCGCCTCCGGAGCTGCCGCCCGCACTGGCTCCAGAGGCATCCGGAGCGGGAGCTGGACACGGCCCGGCCCCCAACGCTGCCCAGCGTGGGGCTGGGGAGTGCCCTTGGAATATAGCAGGGAAAAGCAGGAGGATGATGATGATAGACTGTCTGGGGTGACCCCAGTTCTCGCTCCAGTCGTCTTAGCGCCGCTTCTTGCATCCGCCAGTGTTGGTGTCTGCTCCGTGTGTATCCTTTGGCTTTCAGTAGCGGAGCTGTGTGAGACTGGTAAATGAAGCTGTGTTTTCACTGAGGGGCCTAAACTGCGGGCAATAAGAAGAAATGTTAATTGCCCCTTTAGAGGGGCAGTTCTCTCAATCCGTGTTTGCTTCACAGGGAATAGTTGCTCTTTTTTAATTAAGTTTGAGACAATCAAGCATTTCTCCTCCAAYTCTTGGCAGGAGCTGCTTGTGTTTAATTGAAAGAATCTCCCTCTTGATCTCCAACGTAGAAATTAATCCAACCACAAGGACTTTCCTGTAGGATGCTGCAGGTACTCTAGTTTCCATGCAGGAAAACGCAGAGCTGCAGCAGCGAAGGGCTTCAGCACGGGCTTGTTGGTGCATCTAAACGGGCAGCACGTGGAGCAAAACAGGGTCACGGCTCCCGCCTGGACCTCGCTGGGAAGACTCCTGGGGGATACGGTCCTGGAGGGAAGAGGATCCAAGAGAGCCGGCTGATGTTTGAGGATCTCCTCCAAGCTCATGGAACGGCCCTTCCCAGCAAGCAGGAATCRAGCGAAGGCAGCAGGAGGCCCCTGTGGATGGAGAGGAGCTCCTGGCCGAACTCGCACACAGGAAGGGAGCGCCACGGGAGCGTGGAGTGGGGCAGGAAGCGGGGCGGGTGACCAGGGGGCTGCAGAGGAGCCTGGAAAGCGGCTGTTTGAAACACCACCACTTTATTTAAAAAAGGAAAAAAAAAAACAGCAATTGTTTTAAAGGCCACGGAGACTTTGGCAGAACCTCGTTGCCTTCGCTCGGTTACCAGGCCGGCGGAGCGTTGGAGGCCGGCTGCCCTCGTGGCAGGGAAAGGCTTTGGAAGCAGCCGCCAAGCCCAGGGAGCGGGAGGTGCCTCTGGGGCAGGAGCCGCCCTCCCGGCTCCGCTTTGCCTGCTCCTGAGCCGGGGGCACTGAGGTGTGGGCCCTGTCCGGGTGTTTTGTTGGRGTGGCCACGTCCTCATTCACAGTCCTCTCTGGGGTGACAAGCACTTGGTACGCGGAGAAGAGCTCCAGAGTTTGCTGTGTATCTGTATAGGTTTGCTCTTTGGGTTGAGGAGGTGGTAGCTACAGAGTTCTGGCAAACTTGGTAGCTGACCAAGCCTCTTTCTTCCTAATATTCTTGGGCACGGCGGCAGTAGGTGCCTGTGCTTGGGGCTGAACGTGGGTGTTGGGCTTTGCACAGGTCCCTCCTAAGGAGGGGAGTCGTGTTGGGCAGCGCTGGCCTGTTGAGCCAGAGGAGGGGCTGAAAGGATGACACGAAAAGGAATGAGGAGAGAGGGATGTCGGCAGGTGTGAAATTAGGAGGAGCGAGGAAGCCAGGAAAGCAGCTCAGCGATAGCAGAGCACRGGACTGCGCGTATTTCACTCTGCAAGGCACGGTGCCTTTTGTTAAGGTTCACAGTTGTGTATCTGAGCTGACTCCGCGTCCCTCGCCGCTCTCCGTGCGAGCCAGAAGGTGCTGCCTGTCACCGGGATAACCCGGTGAGCTCTGGGGCAGCCGGGCTCTTACCGCTGGTGCTTCTCTTTGGTGCAGTCTGTGTTGTAGAGCAGAACCGCCCTGGCCCTCCCGTTGGCAGCTCTGCAAGCGCAGCAGCCCGTGCTGCTTTGGCCCCTTCAGCAGAGGCAGGAGCGTGGCGGGAGGGCTGCCTGCCTTTGGGCATCAGCACCGGCTGGCCTTGCAAGCAGCTCTTTGTGCCCCATAAGTTTGGGGTGTGAGTTTGAGATGTTCGGTGACGCGAAGCAGGGGCAGAATGGGCATAAGYTTAAAGCAAAGAAGTGGCAACCTTGAATTCCAGATCTTTTGTTTTTGGACCAAATCGCGATGGACACTCGTAGGCAGCAGCGCCAAATGACTGATCGCTGCGTCTGCCTTCCCTGGCTTGGGAAAAAGTCCGAGAGGCACCGAGGTCTGGGAGTGAAAGTGGGGCCTCCCTTGCCCCGTAAGCAGGTACGAGTTGCTGGAGGTGAAAAGGAACAAGTTTAATGTAGAATAAATTATTACTGTGACTTGTTGCTGGAAAAATGCTCCTGTGTTGAGGCTTCAGTGCTAGAGTTTCTCAGGAACCTCTTTTTCTTCCCCTTAGTGTRGGTCTGTGTCCGTATGCTTATGTGTCTGTATGCTTAATTGTGTAGAGTATATGATAAAATGCAACACAATAGAAATTCTGGATTTTAGGTAGGGGTATTTTGCATAGAGTTTTCTCTAGGGCATGTTCTGTTTCCTTTTTAGGGGATTACTTAGGTTGTGGTGCAGGAATAAGAAACTTGCTGAAGTAGAAACCTGAGAAACTACTTGTTTTCTGTTCGTCTTACTATATAAATTGATAAATTTATGTGAAATTAAATGTCAAGTTCCTTGTGTTTCTTTAAGGTGGAATTTGCCTGTGTTATTTCAAAAAAACRTTTAATGGAAACTCTATCGATGTTAATCACTGCTATATTTATTTTCTGGTTCAATGAGACAAAGTCTAATTTTGTATCATTGATCAAATGCTGGCATTTAATTTTTTTTTCTCTCTTTTTTGACAGGCCAGTTGGAATGCCAAAAATGGAAAAAGTTTACCTACATAATCCTAGCTCAGAAGAAACAATTACATTAGTATCAATATCTGCTACTACATCACACTTCCATGCATCGTTTTTCCAGAATAGGGTGAGTGGTTCTGCCTCCTCCCAATGAGCGTGTCCCTTTGCCGAAGGGGAGCTTGTTTTCGCCCTCCCCTTCTTTACGTGAGCTTCCTGCTGCAGCAGCTGGGCACAAAGGCAGATTCCTCCCTCCCTGATCTCCTCTCTGTTACCACGTGGGGTTGAACTGGCCGTGGAAATGCCCACGGACCTCTGGGAGGRAGGAGTGGGGTGTCCTGCAGGGATCCTAACTGCATGGGAAGTGAATACTGGCCCTGGCAGGTCAACAACACGTCGCTTTTTGCTGAAGTGACCAAAAAATGTACTTTACTTTAGAGCACACCTGGCAGCAAACGGCGTTCAGAGCCTTTGGGAAAATTGTAATCCCGCTGAAATGGTGTTAGTCTGAGACGGGTTATCCCAAGGCAGATATCCCGGTGCAGCTGCCGCCGTTGTGTCACAAGAGCCTCCTGGAGCTCGAAAGGCAGGGCATGAGCAGGGCTAACTCTGAACTAAACTGCTCTTAACTAAGTTGCTGACATAGCCGTCTAGTTTCAGTTTTGTTGGGCTGTGGTTTAGCGGGGGCTGTGTAAAATGCTTTTAGGAACAAAATGCCTTCCTTTGGAAACTGCTGAAAGTTTTGCAGTGACTGTTCTGTGACCTCTCAGTCAAAGTATTTCTGCACTGTGCAGAGCTCTGCACTTACAGTTCAGCCTAAAAATCAAATATAAACGTGCACTGGATGTGCTGTGAAATAGTTTTAATTTATTTGCACATCTGTTTAAAAATTCTGCTAATTTCTTTCTAGATCTATAATAGACTTTCTAAAGGAGTCCTTTCCATAAAGCACACCTGGAGATCTTCTGTACCACCCAAAGATTTGCTTCTTTGTGTATTAATGCAGTGGGTTGATGTTCTCAAGCAATTTTGCTTCTTCCTTGTCTTTTTCTTTTCTCCCCCCAGAAAATTCCTCCAGGAGGCAATACGTCCTTCGATGTAGTTTTCCTCGCGAGAGTAGTGGGGAACGTGGAGAACACTTTATTTATTAACACTTCTAATCATGGGGTATTTACTTACCAGGTAAGGGCAGTAAGTGGAGAACACTTGGAAACAGCTGAGAGGTGTGAGACAGCCGGGACGGTGCCGGTTGTTGCTGTGTGACCCACGGGAGTCTTTGTACCATGTTCCTTGTTGGACAGGCCTGTCAGCTTCCCTCGCAGGCSCTTGTCACCCCACAGGAATCACCCCGGTAGAAATATCTGTGGGGAAACGCTGTAAACAGGATCCCTGGATTGGTTTTAAGACCCTTTCAGTGCCCTTTTTCCCTGCCCGGGGTGTCTTGGTGGCTTCTTGCCGCCATCGAGCGCGTTCTGTAGAGCTCCCTGCTTGTCCCGTGCGGTGACAAGGCACTTCTCGAGCTGGCAGGAAACTCTTTGCCGGAGAGCTTGGAAGCCGCCCGTGCAGTGGTAGCAGCCGAGGAGGCTCTGCACCTTTTAAGCCCTGCTGTGTGTGTGGCATTTCAGAACGCCAGCAAAGGAAAAGGTGGCCTGAGGCTCCCTGTGCTCCGAGTGCCGGGGCTGGGAGCAGCGGTGGCTGCGGCCCCGCTGCTGCTCCCAGCTCAGCTGCCTGGCTTGTCTCGGGCCTGGACCAGGACACTGCTTTTAAATGCTCAGTTAGAACTCTGCTTGAAACCTGGCTGGGAAAACATAGCGGGTGGGCTGCCCAAATTGGCACATGGGCTCTGGAACCACTGCAGACTGTTCCTTACGCTTGTTTTTGTCCTTTATGTTTTATCCCAGGTGTTTGGCATTGGAATACCGAACCCCTATCGGCTGCGCCCTTTTATTGGGGCAAGAGTTCCTGTAAATAGCAGTTTTTCTCCTATAATAAATATCCACAACCCTCACAGTGAACCATTGCAGGTGAGCTTGACAGGGATGTCAAAGATTCATTTGTTTCTGGTATTAAACTGGAATTTATTCTGGAATATCTTAAAATGCCGTTTAAATTGCAAAGCTCTACCCCATTATATAGATGCTTCTCTATGCATAAATGCAATTCAGTCGTACTAGAGAATGCAGATTATGCTCATAAATCTGWGTGTGCTGAGCCAGGGTTTAGCTGTGAAATCTGTGGAGTTTTTTTTAATTCTCATAATAACTGCAAAAGAAYAAACTAAACATCATGGTTGATTAAGACAAGGACTGCAGCAGACAAAATGTCTCATGGGTTGAACTCGGCCAAGACTCATAGCTCCCTTTGGCATCAATATTATTTCATCCTCATCCTAAAGCTTGAGGAGTCATCTGGGTTTTATTCCTCTCGATCAGCAAGGACAGGAGCGATGCTCCCWTCATTTGCCAAGCTGCTTTCAGGAAAACAATGCAAATAGGGAGTGCGGGGACCTAATAGGTGTGTGAGATGCAGGTAGGACAGCGAAYGTCTCGGGCAGTTCCGCAGCTCGGCCCCGGCCAGGGCATCGAGCGAAGCCGGTGGATGGGTCGAGCACTGGGGCCCTGGGGTAGGATGCTGTGGGGTCAGTGACCCACAGAACGCATGTGCTGCAGAAGGCACTTGTGCTCTACGGCAGCAAGTACCTGTGTTGGCATCGAGAGCAAACCTGGAAGGGACTGTCACAGTCCAGCTTCCTTCCATCTCCATGTGAGGAGGAACTTCCCTCCCTGTGAGGGTGCCAGAGCCCTGGCACAGGCTGCCCAGGGAGGCTGTGGAGTCTCCTTCCCTGGAGATCTTCCCAACCCGCCTGGATGCCGCCCTGTGCCCCGTGCTCTGGGTGTCCCTGCTGGAGCAGGGGGTTGGACTGGATGATCTCCGGAGGTCCCTTCCAGCCTCAACCATCCTGTCATTCTGTGAGCTGCTGCCAGACCATAGGCCCGTGCACTCTGGGCTCCCACTGTTGTCAAGTGGTAACGTTTTCCTGTTTTCCAGGTGGTGGAAATGTATTCCAGTGGGGGTGATCTCCACTTGGAGCTCCCAACGGGGCAGCAGGGAGGTACAAGGAAGCTGTGGGTGAGTAATGAAGTCTTGTAACGTTCATTATACTTCTCTCTTTTTCAACCTGACTTTCTCTTGTTGCTTGATCTTTTTCTTAAAGGAAAAAAAGTGTCCCATAACAACTGAAGCAGTGACAGATCTAATAAATGTTTTTCCTTCAGTTCCCACTACTAATTTAAGGAACCATTAATGCTGAGCGTTGCTTTTTTGAAATGAGAGGAGCAAAGTGATACCCACGAGAATGAATTACACCCGTGTCAACATCCAGGGCACTGTAGATGCTCTCATGGCCTGTGCACTGGATTTAGCCCACAGGAAAATTATGCAAATAAAATACAGAAAAAAAAAATTTAAGGCTAAGGAAATCCGTGCTGCCATCCTTGTGGGTGAAGAGGGTGTATGTTGGTGTTCAATAGCAGGCGGCTGAGTTTATGGCAGGGGCTGTTGCTGTTTCTGGCTGCAGTAAATCTCTGGCTCGTGAGTCAGTGCGGGCAGGACGCTGCTCTGGGCCGTATCCCTGTGTGCCTGTCCACATCCCTGGTCTCAGCCCCAGTTAGATGGATGCCCAGTCTGGCCTGTGGAATCTGTGCTGTGCTTTTCACTTCACGCAGCTTTTGAAGTGGTGCGTCCTCGTACCTTTTAGCAAAACCACTTTCAGGATGCCTCTCAAAGTTAAGTTTCAGCTTTGGGCCTTGGTGGAAACTATTCCTTTTCTTCGATTCTCCTCTGGAATTTCAGAGTCCTCAGGCTGCAGTGCTGGTCTCTGGCTGGCTCCAGCACGTCAGTAGTCCCTGAGAGTTACATCTGTAGTGAGCAAAGCCAGGGTGTTGCCAGCGGGGCAAAGAGGAAGATCACAGAACTTAATTCCTGACTTCTGGAGAAAGTCCAAGTCCGTGAAAATGGAAATATCYTGACCCAAGATAGGAAAATAAGAAATAAAAAAATAAAGCGAGTAATCACAAGCATTTTATAAAATATGGTGGAAAAAACACAAACAGATGCTGAGTTAAATATAAGCAAGTATTAAAGCTGGATTCCAAAAGGAACATTTTGATGCTATTTTAGTCAAATGACTGYGCTTCTAAAGAAAACCCTGTTAATGCAACAGAGCTCGAGGGGAGTGTTGAATTCTCTAACCGTAGGTAGGCGTGCACAAAAGTCCCAGAGCCATAAAGAAACRAATGGGTTTTGTTTCCTCTTTCTTGGCTCTGCTTTGTTCCTCGATCTGTTTCTTGAGCATGTAGCAATGCAGCTTTTCTGGGCCAGCTTGCAGATGAAGAGCAGGGTGGAAGATGAAAAGCAGGATCTAGGGGCAGCTCTTAGTGACATCAGTGTGAAAGCGTCACTCCACGGCAAGGGAGAGGCAGGTAGCTGAGCTCTAGTCAGCTCCTACCCCTGTGTTCCCTGGAAAAGGGGTTGGGTTAATACAAATCCACGTTACCCCCTTGCTTTTCCTCTCAATCTTTGCTGTAATGGTTTGAAAGATGGCGATGACGTTGTCTAAAGTGGCCTTGATGCCAGCTGCTTGGGTGAAATGGTCCAGATTTGCAGGAGTATTTTCGTAGTCGCTGCTTAAAGGTACTTCATGGGGCTGACAAATCGTGGATGACCTGTGCAGAAGAATCGAATGACATCCTTGGGAATGTTGATGAACCCCTGTGTTAGGTCAGATCTGGATTGGAATTAATTGTGAAAATTAGTATATAGACTTTAATCTGGGAACTTGTCAGGKAGTAGCAGTTGAAACTAGGACTTGGATAGGTGACGCTTTTCAAAGCAAACTCTTACAATCTCTGGTCCAGACAAAATACTGCGGGACACCCACAGTGAGTCGGTGTGAGTTCTGTGCTGCAGAAGGAGCCGAGGGGATGGCTGAGGCACCGTGCACGTATCTGGATTGTGCCTTGACCAGTCTCCATCATCAAAAATATAAAAGAAGCTGCCAGCTGAAAAGCACCCATGCAAGGCAAGGGTTACCCCTCAGAAATGCCTACTTGCTGCCCATTTTATTTGCATTTCAAGTGCAAGAATCTTCAAATTTGAAATGAGTTTTCCTCCTCTTCAGTAAATCCCGACCCAAACCACCAGCCCATCAGGTGGTGGGAACACGTGCAGYGTTAGTGTTGGAACCATCAGCCTGGAGCTGGCTCCGCATTGCAGTCGCGTCCAGCAGATACAGCAGGGAGCGACTTTCGAGCTTGGAATGCAGTTTGGGACTGCAGGAATAGGCTTGGCTCGAGAAACACCAGCACCTTGTGGCTTTTTGCTGTGAGCTGCTTGATGGCTGATAAACTGGCAACTCTTCAAACTCCTGGATACTTAACGATTCTGCATTTGTTTTGATTTGCATTTAATTGAGTGATTTTAACGTTCGCTTCTGTATCACTGAAGCTGTATATTTTTGTGTTTTTTTTAATGGGGGGAAGCAATTAAAGTGTGCTTGATGTTCTGGCACTCTTTATCACTAGATTTTGTGCTTTCATTCTGTCAGTCCACTGCTTTCTATTACAATTTTGATAAAAGTTTATTGAATGGGACATGGGATCCCTCCCGTGTATACTTAYTTTTAATCAGGGTCAGTATTGTGAGGATTTCTTCTGATGATCATTATACTATCCAATGTAAAAAATCCTTGCTATATCTAATGGTAATTAAAAAAACATTGTCTATATTTTACCCTTTTTAACTTTTTTTTCCTCTTAATGCAGTTTTACYTAATACTTTTATTGTAATTTTTTGGTTTGGCAGCTCTTTCTGTAATTGCTGTGCTCTAATTGGTGTGCTTTGATTATTTTATTAGGAAATTCCTCCCTATGAAACGAAAGGAGTGATGAGAGCCAGCTTTTCTTCCAGAGAAGCGGATAATCATACAGCTTTCATTAGAATAAAAACAAATGCCTCAGACAACACAGAATTTATCATTCTCCCTGTTGAAGTAGAAGTTACAACAGGTTTGTAGAAAACTATTTGTTGAAGTTGTTCGACTTAGTTTATTTTGAACCGAATAAAAATTGGTAACTTTATTTCTTTATTTTTAAGCTCCRGGAATCTATTCATCCACAGAAATGCTAGATTTTGGTACACTACGGACACAAGGTAAGTTAGACTTTAGACTTGAAGCTATTTCCATTGCAGGGGAGCACAGTTACCTTGGTGCAGTTCAGGAGCATCCTGTTTTTAAAAATAGGGCAAAACTGTGGTGAAACTCCTCCCAAACACACGCACTTGTGAGTGAAGTTGGGACACGTGCAGCAAGCAGTAGTTGACACATTAGGTTTTAGGGGTAGTAAGGAGATATGTGTTGGTCTTGCCTAGTTGCCCATGCTGTTCTCCAGAAGCCAGTAGTAGCAGTGCTTCTGTCTGCATTTGTTCTATTGATTGCCCTCCCCACAATAGTGCAGGTGCTYGGAACCCAATTTTGTATGTGATAATTCGATCTGTTTTCTTTAAATCACCTGGATGCCACCGTGTGCCCCGTGCTCTGGGTGTCCCTGCTGGAGCAGGGGGTTGGACYAGATGATCTCTAGAGGTCCCTTCCAACYTCAGCCCTTCTGTGGTTCTGTGTATATTTGTAAACATTTTATCCTGTTAGTGAGATTGTTTAGTGAACTCAAAAAGCTGCAATCTGTATGTGGCAGAAAACACAGCTGAAGATACCTTGCAACACTGTAGAAGGGTACACTGTTCTCAAAAAAAAGTCAATATCTTCTTTTAGAAAGTGGTACGGCTTCCAAAGTATTGTTCCATGCAATTTGCTCATTTAAAGACCTTTTAAAGCTCAATTTCTACTGAATACTGGTGCCTCTGATAAAAACATTCATTGTAGCGTTATTACCCTGTTCACTCCTTAACCTCTCTGACTTCTAAAACATTAACTGGAGCTTACGATACCGACCAATACATTAAAAACGTGTCCAAGTGTGTCAGGTTCTTGGGATTAGGTTTGGGATGAGATTTGGCTGTCTGTGCTTTTAACACCAAACAACAATTGATGTAATTTGGGGGAAAAAAAGCTAGTGCAGATTGCTYGTGTATGTGTTGATATAACCTAACAGCTCCGTGTGTTTGTTTGTTAACAGATCTGCCAAAAATTTTAAACCTGCACTTACTAAATTCAGGAACAAAAGATGTGCCAATTACAGTAAGTTTTATTTCGTTTTTGTTTGAATCATTCTGCTTGGGTCTGTCTCTCATAAAAATCGATCGCTCACAGATCACTGTGCGCTGCTCGGAATTGGAAGCTACGAGATGTGTGACTGAAAATACAACTTTGTAGTTGGACAAACAACCTGCGTGCGCGTTACAGCTTGCGTGCTTTACAGAATCGTGTGCTTTACAGCAAACCTGCCAGAGCGGGAGGTCCAGTGGCTCTTGTTCTCCTGAGCTTTTCAGCTCTGTAGCCTGAAGTAGGAAAAAGGGCCTGGGAAGCTGCTGGAGCCCTGTCCCGCGAGGCCCCCTCGGCTGCAGAGGAAGTGCCACAGATGGAGAACCCCAGTGTGGGGATTTCTGCTTGCTACTTATATCACAGCGTTTTGCTTCTGTTTGGGTCATCTACCTTCATTCGCCCATATCTTCTTTTAYGTATTTTTTTTACTCTCATTGCCCACTCTTTTTCTCACTCTTTTCCATTCCTCTTCTTTCTCTTGCARATTATTTTTGCTGTTAGCTCTACTTTTTCTCCCAGTGTAGTTCAAAAAATAATATTGAAATACTGGAAAGGATCCAGAGGAGGCAGGAATGACTGAGGGACTGGCAAAGAGGCCGTGCTGAACTCTTGGAGAGCGTTGCAGTGTTTATAAAGCTTGTGCCTATAGCTAGGGAAGAATATTTTAATAATAGAAGTCTAACACAAACATAAAACAAGATACTAGAAAAAGAGACGAGGCAAATTTAGGCTACGAATAACACATTTTTACAATAAGAATAACTTTCCACGGTGATGATAGCCCACTGCAATGCTGCTTGCTAAATTATTGCTCCCTGGCAATTTTTAAGTCGAGACAAACTTGTAATATTATAGGAGCAAGACTTAAATTATGAAAGCCCTAATGCTTTTTACATTAGTGAGACTGCAGTAGCCTCAAGGCCTCATATGGTCTTTGAAGTTAGGAATTGCCTCTGGCGCAGCGTGGTTACATGTTTTGGTTTGATTTTCTCCTTTTTTCTTTTAAGGAATTATAAAACTTTTACAACCAACAGGTTGGAAGATTCCTCAAAAGATTTGTCGGTGATGCCTGTTCTTTGGTCTTCTTAGAATGGCCAGATTTTAGGCATATGGATAGTTCAAGTGTGAAACACTTGTCCTAAGTACAATAGAAATAATTTTAAGCTCAAGCCATCAGTCTCACTTTTAATCTCTGACAACATATTACCTCCTCCTTCGGACAACAACCTACCCATTTGTTTGGACAGTGCTCTTTGCAGGGCCAGCAGGCTGTTGTTTCATAGCYTCGTTCTACAAGTCACGACAGACTTGGAGGGGGTGGGATCCATTATCAGTTGGATAAAATCAATGAGTTTGGGGTTTTTTTGTAGCTTTTAGAGCTCACCTTTGCAGTGATCAAGTTGCCTCTTGCCTATCCGGAAGTGACGTGTTTTCCAGTGTCACCTACAGCCCTCTGCTCCCAGCTCCCTCTTGATGTGCACCAGGCTGTCCATAGTGATCCTGAAAGCCGGTAGTTATTCCAAGAAAGGAAGAGCTCCGGTGGGATGTTTGCAAACTGCACAACCTCCCCAGCACTGCAGTCACTGTGTGAACTTGTGCTGTGCCAACCGCATACAGTTCAGAATGGTCAGCACAAATAAAGATGTTTTGGGAACAATATTGTGACCGGGGTGTTTCTAAGAAATCTTCARAAACGCTTTTCTGACCCTTTGGAGCTAGAGCTTAAAAGCCATTGAGAYAGCAGCTCTGTCACAGATTTCATCTTAATGTCAGAAGAAAAGGCCAGGCCTATATTTAGCCCGTGTTTAAGCTCGCTGCTGGAGGAACTGAATATCTTCAGGTCGCCTGTGCATGAGAGGCGGCTAGTAGAGCTCTTGTCAAACTCGTCCGTGTTCTGCTTTGAAGTACCTCATCATGCTGCAGCCCAACACATTGGGTCAGGAAAATGAGTCACCTTTTTTTTTTTCTTTTTTTTTGCATTTAAAGCTCCTTCTAAAAGTTCCTTATTTGCATTTGTGGGGYTTTCCCCGTTTTCAGGGAGGATCACTTTTATTTTATGACCCGTGTGAACTTCTGTCATGCCGTCCCAATTAAGGTGTGCGATGAAAAGTTTGATAAACTTCTTGGTTTGCTGATGCTTTGGCTGCTGATGGCTTTTTGTCCGCCCCTTCTCTAGAATGAAAATTTCATGTTTCTTTAATAGGAATTAAGTGCATTTGGTGGCTAAAAGCAAAAGAGTGCTCTTAAATTTAAGCTGCTGGTGGTGGTTTATGCAAAAAGAACTTGCAGCTTTAGGAGACCTGTACGTGATAGCTGAGATCTGACTGTGACAGGAAAAAACATTTTTTAAAAAAATATATGTGTGTGTGTGTGGGGGGGGGGTGTATTTTATATATATTTATATATATATATATATATGTAAAATCTGCTCTGAAATATCTGAAGAGTGACAAAAAATCCATATATACATATATATGGTTGGATAAAAATCCACAGATTTATATATATGGATTTTTATCACATTCAGGTATTTCAGAGCAGATTTTTTTAACCCCGGGGGCAGCTGACTGTTTCCGAGTTGTCTGTCTAGGCTCGGCGTGTGAGCACGGACACCCAAGGCAGAGCACTCAGGGGCGGGTTAGCTGAACGGGTGGGCTGCCAGCAGCAGCGCTGCTTCCCTGGCCGTGCCGGCTGCTGCTTTTACAGCGTTTCCTGTGACAATTCAGTTAACTGCAGCCAGGYGACCTACCTGAACAAGTGAATGAGCAGAGCGGGGCTGGTTCTGACACCGAGGGCAGGAGCCCTTGGGCTGCCTGGTGCAGGCCGCTGCCTGCCAGCGGGTTGGTGAAGGAGCAGATCTTTCTTTCACTAATTCCCCTTCCCCACAGAAGACGCCCTTGAGGGTTTTTCTGAGAAAATTGTTGGGTTTTGGGGTAGAACTTGTTCGAGGTGGATTCTCAATGGAGCTTGTTTTGCATGTTTGCGTGGAACTTGCCTGTGCAGACGCTAGTTTTGATGATTCGTGAGGCTGTTCTCAGGAAGCTGCTTTTGCTCAGGCAAATTAACTATCATGTGAGGAAAAGCAAGTTGAAAAGATTGTTAAGGAAGTTGTCTTTCTTCCTTAGTTGTCTTACTACCATATTTCCTTTCCCATCATGAAATCCAATAACAAATGAGAAGTGTGCACGATACCATTACATTTCCAACAAAACAGTGCTAAACTCCTTCCCTCGTTAATGTGTCATCAGTGGACAGTTTGAGTAAATCTGTCTAGGTTTTTTCCACCCACGAGATTGAAGAGCTGCACCTCTGAAACGTGGCATTTCTGTATGACCGGCTAGCTTTTTTTTTTGCGTATTTCTAATTGGGTTTGCTGGATGCAATCAGCACAGTTTCAAAAGAGTAATTAAGCAGCAGCCCTTAGCATGCAAATAGCTGCKAGAAGCAGTCATGGTTTTTGCCGTGCCTGGGCCCGGCTTTGGCCGTGTCTCCTCAGGAGCTCTGGGAGGCAGGGAGCGGCAGGATGGCCTGTGTGCGTTGCTGCTGTTACGTTCTTTAGGATATGGCAAGATTCCCGGTTTGTGAGAGGGAATTTCAGTACAAGGAAGCTGTGCTGCTGAACTGACTCAGGAGAGGTGTCGAGCATCTGTATGGCATCCGTGTAGGGGGGTAATAAAGTCCAGGAGTGATGATCCAAAATACAGCATCTTCGAGGAGAGGTTGGAGACGCTGTTCTATAGGTGCAGCCATAGCCGTGTGCGCTCCATATGCAGTAGGTTGTGGCTCCTATTTGCACGGAAGGATAGCTGAGCTTTAAACAGCTGTGACGGGTTCCTCCCAGGGTTGTCTGCCCTGCTGCTTTGCCCAGGAAAGGCTCAGCTGCTGCCGGGGCAGCTCCCGGACCTGTGCAGGCCGCTATGGGGCAAACCAGCACCCGCTGGGCTTGCGTGCCGAAAGCAGCCTGTGATTTGCAGCCGTTCAGCAGCTGCTGCGGGAGCAGCCGAGCTGTTCTGCCAGCAGCAGCCAGCTGGGGAGCAGGAACCGTGGCAGCCGTCCCAATTTTAAGTAAGAATAAGAGCATTTAAATGCTTGATTCCCAGTTCCTGCCTGGGAATCTCTSTAGCTAAATCTCCATGTCTGTTAAGGGCTTCACAAGCAGTTTTCATGGRCTCTTCAAATGTCACCATTCAGAATCTGTAATTCTGTGGCTGATGGCTGGCAGGATGGCTGCTCTGGTCGTGCCCAATTCACCTTTTACATTTGGTTTAAAATAAAAAGCTGATCTTGGAAAATGCCATTACAGAGTGACTATAATCTCAGGGGTAGAAAATTGTTCTCTGTACAGTTAATTATTTAATTATTTTTTTCTTGGCAGCTCTGCAGACTTAGCATGGGACCATAGGCACAGGGTTCCTCTCGCCTTGTGCATCACCACCATTAATTACACGAGTTAGTTAGCAGCTTTGTTAAGGAGTCAGCCAGAAACGAACATACTSTGTATTTTAACTCTAGCTATTTTAACCCTGCAGCGTTAAGAACAAAAATCTTATTTTAACAAAAGAAACAAATCCTTCTCCATTTCAYTTAAAGGAGCATTTTTGTAGTTGAGTTTCTGTCCATACTTCATCCGCCATTTCTAAAGAGAGTTCTCTCTTGCCCACCTTCCTGCACGCTGACTGCTTGACTAATTTGTAGGATGTGAGGAAAGTTCTGCCATATCTTACAAGGCGGCCCTCTTATAGGGAAGACAGACCTGTAAAACCACATGTATTTTTTGCTGAGTTTGTAGCATGTGCCCTGAAGGATGTCTGAAAGCTGTGCAGTGTGTTAGCAGGGATGAATTGGCAGGTGCTTGATATTCTCTTTCTGTTTGCAGAGTGTTAGACCTACGCCACAGAATGAAGCTATAACAGTGCATTTCAAGCCAGTAACGTTAAAAGCCTCTGAAAGTAAATACACCAAAGTTGCAAGCATTAGCTTTGATGGTAAGTACTGCTGCCCTCTTTGTGGAGCGTTTCAGATTCTTCTGAAAACTTACTGAATCCTTGTGATTTTATTTTCCCATTCTTTTAAGAAAATTATATTTATCACTTTGGGTGGGGGGAATGGAATTTCTCTACTTGGAAATGGCTTGAGGTTTTTTTTGTTTTTTTTTTTTAAACTTCCACTGCTTTTAGAGGGAACATTTCTGAAGTCACCGACAGCAGGTAGCTTTAACCAGTAACAAATAATAATGAGAACCTTGACTGATGACTTATTTTCAGTAAAGCAGCCAGACATAAGTTGCCCTTTGAACAGGTACTTTGAGGGCTGGTGGCTTCCACCAGGCAGTTTCGCATCCCTTGACTGTGGAAATTTCTATCAGGGCAATATTGCTCTGTGACCGTGGAGCCTCATTCTTATGACTTATATAGACTGAATTCTTATTTCTGCAAAGCTTAGACCACCTTTTAGTTTATTAAAATGGCGCTGCAGTCCTGGTCCCAAGTCCTGCTTGTCAGGTAGYTTTAAATAAGGAGTGTCGTAGTAGTTTTGAGATTCATTTGGTTAGTGSAAGACGGGTATAGTCCCGATCCAAGTGGGGAATTCAGCTCACCTGGGACCTGAGTGACCTTCTGGACACGTCTGGCATGTGGATAGGAACGACTGGATTTCCTCAGGCAGGTGAGCTCGCTAACCCAGGCGTGTCCCCAGACTGGAGCTGAGAGCATTTCAGAACTCTGATCTTTTACTCCCTAGGTTTGTGTCAGTTCCTTAAAATTTCTTTAGGATTCATTTCCTTCAGTGGTGCTTTCTCTGGTCCAGCTCTGTGCTTTTGTTGTTCCCCACGTGATGATCTAACCGGATAGATCATCTGTGGTTCGCTCTGACATCCCTCCTGTCTTCTCCTCTGTGCAGCATCTAAAGCGAAAAAAGCATCGCAGGCTTCAGGCAAAATAACTGTGAAAGCAAAAGAGAAGAGCTACTCCAAACTTGAAATACCATATCAAGCAGAAGTGTTGGATGGGTAAGTGTACAGTTTGTGGAACGATRCTCAGAAACTGAGTGCTGAGAATTAGCAGAGGGAATTTTAGTCATTTGTGGAGGAGGAGGGGATATAAAGCAGTGGTGCCTTTTAACTCTGGAACTTCAGTTCTTAATATATTTTTTTTTTCTTCTATTAATAGATATTTGGGGTTTGATCATGCTGCCACACTCTTTCATATCCGTGACAGTGCTTCTGATTCCGTGGAAAGACCAATCTACTTAACAAACACGTTCAGTTTTGCAGTCCTCATACATGATGTTTTGTTACCAGAAGAAGCAAAACCAATGTTTAAAGTAAGCCCAGTTCCAGTGGAACAGTTTTCCTAAAACTAAATGTTTAAATACCCAGCACTTTGCTAAATTGTAACTTTGATCTTCATTCTTCACTGATGCAGGTTCAGAACTTCAGCAAACCTGTCTTAATTCCACCTAATGAATCCAGATATATTTTTACACTTCATTTTATGCCTTCCACATCATCTGTTCATATAGATAACAATATTTTACTCATCACCAACGCTTCTAAATTTCACCTACCTGTCAGAGCATACACAGGGTTTTTAGATGTAAGTATTTCCCCTTTTTTGTTTGTTTGTTTTCTGGAGACTTTGGTCTAATTAGAAACAGAACACTCAGAATTCACTGTAATTCCTTATTCTGCTTGGATGGGAGAATGGCTTTTTCTTAATTTCATCGTGATTTTACAGATGAGAAAAATGTCACCTGAAATAAACCCCACTTCACCAGTTCTTTCCATAAACAGCTTCTGTACCTGTCGAAAAAGCCATTTCTGGTCCCTTTGGTTTTAGGTAGCAAGTGTGTAGAACTTTGAGACTGTTTCACAATCCTGCTGTGTTTGATTTTTTTTTCATTTTGTTTTCTTCAATGCATTTGTTACTCAGCTTAGAGTTTGCATATGCTTTGTATATAAGTGAAGCTAAAATGCTTTTGTCAATCCTTCTAGTACTTTGTGCTGCCTCCAAGAGCTGAGGAACGATTTATAGATTTTGGAATACTGAGCGCAGCAGAAGCTACTAGCATTTTATTTGCAGTCCTCAACAGCAATCCAATAGAGGTAAGGATCTGTTCCTCCTTAGTTTTTCTTCTAAAAAAAATGGAAATGACTGGTGTTATTGAAAACGCTATGTTTTGTTCCTTTGAAGCTGGCTATAAAAAGTTGGCATATTATAGGGGATGGTTTGGCCATAGAACTCCTAACAACKGAAAAAGGAAACAGGACAACAATAATTGCAAACCTTCCTGAGCTGCAAAACGCTGGTGCGTCAGATCAGTCTTCAGTAAGTAAATCCTTTGAATCTCTTGCTTCAAAATAGATTTAGAAGAAAAGGGAAGAGGGGGGAAAAAAWKRMCMAWTTTTWWTWTWTTTTTTTTATAGCTCCATTTTTGCCAATGTGTGTGTTGGGAGGGGATTCTTTTAAATTTATTTTAAGAAGTTATGCTCAGGTTAGATTTTAACCAGAAATATTCAGAGACTCTAATCTCCATGGCCTGAGATGATCCTAACCATTTTTAAGGAGAATGGTGAAATTTATTAGTACAGTAGCATTTTATTTTTGTATTAGTCATGGGATGGAATTGTTCTTGTATGTACCATGGATAGATGTGTTTCAGACAGATCAGCTTAGGAAACAGGGCAGTGTTGGGTGTGTTTTTCTGTGCTGTGTGTTTCCCATTAATGGAAGACAGTGAATGACTCTGTTCCTGTCCTTTACAGGTGATACTGACATCTGGTTATTATGCTGTGTTTAGAGTAAAACTAATAGCAAAAGAACTTGAAGGAATTCATGATGGAGCTGTACAAATCACAACAGATTATGAGGTATATTGTCTATTCACTGGTGTTATACAGATGATATGTTTTTCTTTTTTTAGTGTAGACCTAAGAAATATCGGTTTTAATAAGGCAAGGAGGAAGGTAGCAAGTATTCTGATTATCTTAAAGAGTTTTTTCTAGTAGTGATCTCATTTTTTAGTGTAAGGCTTTCTAAATTGACTGAATTAACTCAGAAAAGTGATCGGTGAGTATAGCAACATGTCTTAATTTGTACTGTAAATGACATAAAGTATGAAGCTTTAAGAGTTGTATTAGTGGATGGATTGCAGTTTCAGTGAGAAGTCAACCATGGAGAAAATGAGAGCAGTGCTACCAGAGCTGTATCTTCTCTGAAGGAATGAAGAGTGCCTTTGATTATGCTTCTCCCTGGCTTTCAGAAGCTTCTGTTTCAGTCTGACCTGATGCTTTGAGGCTTGGGTCCACATGAACGTCATTGCCATGACATATTTTCAAAGCATCGATGCATGGATCCTGTGGCATGACACGTTCCAGCAATATGCTTTTTTGATGCATTGTCAGTTACTAACATTGAGGTAGAATTTTCAAGGTTTATTGTAAAAGTCCACTGTGAAAATTGCTTTGGAGAAGTTAGTTTGCTGACGGTTGCTGCAGCAGAACCACCGAGGTTAGGAGAAGAGAGAAGAAGGTTTGGTTAATTCTCAAATTCATACATCTTTCCTGTTGAGACTATTAAGTTTAAGAGAGAGATTSTCTTACATTATAGAATGACATTTACTGTCACTGGGTTATGGTATTCACGACCTTTGAGTTATATGCATATCAAAAATAGATGTGATATTCCTGCAATGGTTATAAAGTCAGAAAATGAAACAGCAATGAAACAGCATGAACAGTGTGGTTCTGATGAAATTGCAGAAAATAGGAAATTCTTAATTTCTGCCAGTTGTCTGTGATTCTTGACATTTTTTAATGTGTATGAACATGAGTGACCCTTGAGTATCGGAACCTGGAGCCCTTTATTTTCTAGTTTGTTCTTACAAGTTACTTGACCAATACAGTAAGGATACTGTTACTGACATCCTTAGTATTTGCTGTATTTCTGTCTCTTCTAGCTCCTTTTTCTAACTCTGATTGTAACTTCTTGCCTCATATTCTTTTTTTTTCCCCTCAAAGATGTCATCCTGTTACCCAACAGAACTAGCCCTATTCAAGGAAGATTAAATAATGCTCTATGAGAGAGCTTGTATGTTAGCTTTGCTGTTGTGTTCCATGGAAAATGATGCTAAGTGTGATTGAGCAGAGATGTGCTTCCTGTRTTTAATTAATTAATGTAATTAATGCTTTCTGTAGCATTAATGAAGTGCTAGTCAATAYTTTGATTTGAGCAACCATTTTTTGAAAGTTTTGTTCAGTTAAAAATTTGAAGAGACAAAAACTTGTCTCTGGGGTTGAATGCTGAAATATCTGTGACTATTTTGAGTATGACCATCTATGGTRAGATTTTAATTCATGGCTAAGTGTCAGGTTTATAGATATGCATTTGAAACATGAATTCTGGAATTTCACAATTCKAGTATTTCAGGATTTTGTTATTCTAAGAAATGAAAGACACTTAAAAACTGAAATTAATATATTTTTTTCTAAACTTTCTTGTTCTCTCTTTCAGATTTTAACTATACCAGTGAAGGCAGTAATTGCTGTAGGCTCCCTGACGTGCTCCCCAAAACACGTTTTTCTTCCRCCATCCTTTCCAGTAAGCCAATGAGTTCCCAGCATTACACGTGTTTTCTATTTGTCCCTTTCAAGAGAAACTGCTTCCTTGAATTGCTGCAYGCTGTCATATTGCTGGAGAGATTGTGCTTTTGAGCTTTCAAGATCTTGCTTTTATCACTCTTGTTTTTCCCCATAGTTCCAAGCACGAGTTCTCTCTWCCTCTCTCTGACTGATCTGCTTGAATGGTGCCTGCAGCACTGGCAGGGGCCCCAACCTGACGCTTTCCAGCTTTGTTCTGATGCAGCTGTGGTCACTTGGTCATCCTTAGCCTTTCACRTGTGTTGGCACTTTTGAGTAAGGAAAAACAAAAATGCACATGTGTTTCTCAGAAATACTGTGATGCCAGAAGTCGGCTAATGAGCTGAAGTTTCAGGATGAGAAGTCCTTGAAGGATTCTTTCATTCCACACTGGAAGAGCATCTTCTTCAGAGGGTACATGGCATAGCACAGCAAGAGGAAAACAATATATCCGTGAGACTGCAGTGATGCTGCAGCTCTGCAGAAAGGTGCCGTGGCTGCTCCTGGGCAGTGACTTTCAGCCCTGCTCGTGCAGGGAGGGCCAGAGGCAGCTGCTCTGCTGGGGGCTACAGGCTCAAGCAGCCGGTCATTACAGCAGCTTAGCACATTCTTCTGCACTTAACCTTCAGCACAACCACGGCAGCAGGGGCTCTTGAACCACGTTGGCTTTGGCGTTTTACACGAGGGCAAACTACATGCGGCTTTCTGAGCAGAGAATTTCGTATGACTGAAAATCATTGGGAAAGGGATTAAGGGATTTGGGAAAGGGATCGTTGGGGAAGGGATCTGCACGCTGCGCAGAGCTGCCGGCCGCGTGCGGCCCCGCTACCCCAGCACCATACTTGGCCAGGGAGACGTGGTCGAGCTCTCTTGGCCTGGAATAGGGGTCTGGATTTCCTCTGGCCCTCGTAAAAATTCTCAGGCCTCAAGAGGATCCAAACAAGTCTTTAAAAGTTCTTGCTGTTTCATGTGTTTTGCAGTAGTGACTCTCTTCTCCCTGCTTACTCCTGCTACAAAAAGTTATTCCTGAAGCTTATGGGATGCTTGTGGACATTCCTGCATTTTTTCAGTTCAGAATTATTCCTGGCCATTTTATTTATGCCCTGTCAGTACTATCCTGGAGCTTTAGTAGCTCTGTTCCCTCTTTTTAGCACTTGGCATCAGTATAGAGCAGTGCAGAGCTGTGCCTTCCTCTTCATAGGTTAAAAAAGCCATGTTTCCCCCTATTATTTCTTTCATGTTAGACTCTATATTTCCCTGCTTMTCAGTCTGCTCTTTTCCCTCCTCTGCAGCAATCTTCCTTTTCCTATGTGTGTGACATCTACGTAGTCATCTGAGTAAGGTTTTGCCTCATTCTTTCTTTTCATTCTTCATAACCTCTAGTGAGAACCTCTCAACAGACCCCTGCTGGAATCGCTTCTGTGTTTCCTGGTCTGTACTGCACAGTCTCAGTCTGGCATGGATAGAACAGATTGCATATGGTCAGACCCTAAAATAGCCTTAATGGAAGTTAAACTTCTTATTARGTTCTAAATTCATGATCTTGTGTTTTCAGCTATTGAATTCGGTCCTACTCAAGACCAGTAAGTCAATCTGAATCTTGATTTTCAATATTCTCAAGTGCTGCTCAACTTCGCAGTATCAAGGGGCTATGTTTATCTTTTCTTTGTATCAGATAATTAGTGAAAATATTCCTAGCCAGTCTTTTCCCATTCTGATTTTTTTTTCCTCCCTTCTTGGAACTCTGCCTGCCTTTTAGATGGCTCCTTGTTCCTGCTGCTGATCWTAGTTTTGTGTGCTTGGAAGTAATTTTTTCACTTGCACTTTATCATGCCTTACATGCTGACTATTAGATCAATGGCATTTTTTTGAAAGGGAGATGCAGCAGGGCTTGTCAGAGGAGGATGCTAGGCTAGTCAGCAGGAGATTAGCAAATCTCTGCTAATTTATTGCACTACCCTTTCTCCTCTCCTTTTGAGGAGAGCACTTGTTATGCTGCATTTTTCAGTCTCTAAGGCTTAACCTTTTTTGCTTGTCATCCTTCTTTCATCCCTGGAGTGCTCTAACTTTTGCTGGCTTCATGCTCTTGTCTGGGAAACTTTGCAAGCGATTGCTCTTTCCGGGAGCCTTTTAACTTCCTTTCAACATTAATTGGTGTAACTGTCATCCTATCTCGCCAAAATCCTCAGGACCTGCCTGTTTTGAAGGAAGAGTGAACTGTGTTTAGAAGTGGAGAAAAGAACATGAATCCCCAGAAACCTGTCTCAACGTGCTGAAAGTGGCTTTTATTTAGATTGTGTGATTTAACTCTGTACTTAATGCTTCAGTTCTGCCATGGTCTTTGTCAGCCTACGTAACTAAAAAAATCTACTAGGTAAAAATATATCTGGTACATGTGTTTTCCCTTTTCTTTAGGGGAAAGTAGTCCACCAGAGCCTGAACATTATGAACTCCTTCTCCCAGAAAGTGAAAATACAGCAGATACGCTCCCTATCTGAGGATGTGAGGTTCTATTATAAGAGGCTGAGAAGTAATAAAGAAGACTTAGAGCCAGGAAAAAAATCCAAGGTTGGTTTATGCCTTGTTTTTACAAGTTTCTTTGCATATATCKGTGCATATGTATATCTATAGCATATGTAAATACTGGTGATCATCAGAAATCTTCTCCCTTTTGTCTTTGGCTATTAGTTACTGTACAGTTTTTTAATTGATCTCTCCTCTCTGTTTTGCAGATAGCAAATATTTATTTTGACCCCGGTTTGCAGTGTGGGGATTATTGTTATGTAGGATTACCATTTTTATCTAAATGTAAGTAACTTTCATCTTTGGAATTAAAAGCTAAATAATGAAAAGCTTTTCAGTTCCACAGTGATTTTACATGAAGGTTTATAAAAAATACATTGTATTTTAAAGCGGAATCTAAAATTCAGCACAACTTAGCAATGCAAGAAGATGCATGGGATTCTGACTGGGATTTGCATGAGAACTTGTACAGAGGCTGGATGGAAATAAAAGAGAAATCAAGTCATCGGTGAGTTGTTTTACCCTAGTTACTTCCTCAGCCCCTTAGTCGCTAGATATATGTTATATCCAGTTATATCTGTATCTGTTAGTTATATCTATATCTGTTATATATGGTCAGTATAAAATACAATACTTCATATTGCAGTGCTCTTTGAGTGAGGTAGAATGGGTGACGACAGTCACTACTTTACAAAAGTTGCCTAAACCTTTTTTTTTTTAACACAGTAACCTTAATATCCTTGCTCCCTATAGGATTTTAAAAGGATGTCTGTTGCTACTCCTCTGGGATTCCTATATTTAAGTGATAGTTGAAATTGCTGTTTCTCCTTGAGAGAGATTTAATAAAAGGTGATTAATCATTGCTGTTTAATTTTTAGGAAAAGTGTCACACCGGTCTGTGGGCTGCTATATACTTTGTAAACGTCTGCTTTCTGATGTGCAAACTGCCATTGCAAAAAGATGGGGGTATTAGAGAAAAACAAAATGATTCCATGTAGCTAGATATAATAACAAAACCATACCTCCTTTATCAGTTTCTTGTCACAAGGTTGATGTGTTAACAACTGCTAAAGAAATTTGACCTGAGCAGAATCCTCTGTTGATCTGCATTGGTAACTTGTGAGAATATTTCAAGGAAAAAAGTTTATTAGAAACTATTTCTCAATAAGTAGCACTTTCAACAAAATATATAATACTTTTTAAAAATAAGCAGCTATCCACGGTACCATTAAGCAAAGAAGAAAATGTGTTTTTTAAGACTCCGGTGAGCGATGCGACTGGAGTGTTTGGGCCCTTGCCACGACACTTGCACGKTTTGAAGCTCAGTGTTTTGTTGGTTTTGCTGCCTAAAGGACCTGGTCCCATTAGTCTCGTTCCAGCTTACAATGGGAGAGCTGGAACTAGGTGCAGCTACCTCACAGGTCTGGTTTGGATCTGTGAGGAGTTTGGACACATGCTCCATGGACGCATCCATCCAACCAGGGTGCATTTACTGCACCTTACGCATGCATAGCCACAGGATGCTTTGGGAAGGATCCTTGTGGTGTTTCCAAAACTGCCCTTGTAGTTGGACTGTTTCTGCTGCTACCAGCTTCGCAAAGGTGGTGGTCAGCCAGTCGTTATTGCATAATATCTCTTGAGCTCTTAAAATGTATTCATGTATTCTGGTAGGTTTTTTCATTTATGCCTTTCTATCTAGAGGATAGTGATTTAAGAGAAATGCAAATGCTGAAATATTTATTGTACTGTACCTAGCTCCTACCACATTTTCTGCTCGTCATCTTCCATAAACAGGCCCTGGTAGGGTTTAGAACAGGTAGATGTTGACAGCACCACTTTAATAGCACATATCTTTGGAATACTTGGGTTGGTCTTCTATAGCATGTTTGGGGCAACAATCAGATTTCCACTGTTTTCCTTGCATGTAAACAKGATGTTCTGTGCTATTTTTCACATAATACTGTTTTCAGGATGCTTTTAAGCTTGCTTTTTCTGAATTTTGTGCCATTTTAGTTTCATAAAGTGATATATTTTTTTTTAATATACTTTTCCAGACCGAGTGCCATGTTCGAGGTAGACACRGATCTGCAGAAGGAGGTGCGGGTGAAGGTGACGGCAGAGCTGGCCTGGCCGTCGGTGCTCAGCTCCCCGCGCCGCCTCACCTTCCCCCTTACCAACACAAACGGCTCCTCAGTAAGTGCCCGGCCTCGCTGCCTCCCTTCCTGGGGACTGCAGTTTTCAGAGCTGCTTGCCATCAGCATTAACGCAAACGTGAACTTTACAACAATTGATGTTTCTGATTAGGAGGAAGACATTTTTCTAGAAAATCCAGCTGACGTTCCTGTGTATGTTCAATTCCTTCCTGTAGCTCTGTATTCTAACCCAGCCACCTTTGTCGATAAGCTCTCGGAACGGTAAGTATCAGCGGAAAATGCCCAGGCTTTTCTCTGCAAAATGCATTTTACCAGCGTAAGCAAAGTCTTTGGCAGCCCTGTTGGTTCTTGCAGTATTGGCCGCTTCTAGAATGCAGATCGTTGGTGCAATGGGAATAGAATTTAGATTGATTTTCCCCACTGGTTCCTCGGTATTCTTATGCTGTTTAGAAAACAAGATGTTCACATTTTTTCCTTAACATGTGAGGGAGGAAATAAGAGAAATCACRTGATGCTTTCAGCTATGTATTGTTTTAGTCCTACTACAAGGTCTTGGTTTGGGCTAAAAGCTGTTATATGTGCGTGTATATTAGGATGTGCATTGATTTGGAGGGGGGAGAAAAAACGATATTTTTGTTTCAGGTTTAATTTGAGTAAACCTACAAATTTCAATCCGAGAACTCTAGAATTCCAAGTCTTCAGAAACTCTGTAAGTATTTCAATATATTTTAATATTGGGAGCTTGAAGGGGGTTAAAAAATGTGTTSCGTTGGGGAGGGGAAGGGTGTTACGTCCTTTGAGTTTAGTATTACTGTATGTGAAGAATGATACCTATATTGGATATTTTCAGGAAAATAGTAAAAGTAGTGTTTCCTCTAATATGACTTTCCCTGTATGCTTACTGTGTAACAAGATTGTAGAGATTATGGAAGAACTGTATTGATTCACTTTCTTCAGCGTAGTGGTTACTCTTTCTAAAATTAGCTAAAGATTGGGTTTTCCATTGCCTTGTTCTGCATTTTAAACTTGTTTGCAATTTTAGTGGACATCCTTAAGTATACACCTTTTTTTATAGGTCTTAAAACATCCTGAGCACTTTCTTTTTAATCCAATACACACGCATTTTGCAGTTAATTTTAGATTAGCAACTCRGTGCTTACACTGAGGCAAATTTAGCAAAATATCCTGCTTTCAATAGTCTTTGTATTTGAAACTTGCCTCTTTTCCCCTCCTTTCTTTACTTAGCAGAGACAGTATTCTGAAAATATTTTAATATTGGAGGATAGTTAGAAAATATACCTTTTTTTTTTTAACTTCTAAAGTCACAGAGCAAGAGAGCTTTATGAATCTACAAGTAAATATTTTAGCTATGTTGCTCTAGTATTTTGGTCAGGATGTGAAAAGAAAATGTTCCCCAGTTACCTCTTAGCTAAAAAGCTTTTATGTAATCAGTTCACCGTGTCATAGACCTCTTCATAACAAAATTTGTTTTCTAGCTAAAATAGTATCAGTTCATTGAATATTTGTAACAGTTCTATTTTTAAAGTGCTGTTTGATTGTTTTTCCCCACTGTCTTAAGGTCCAACCGCTGCAGAGCACTGTGGGACTTGCAAAGGGCCTGGCTCGGCATTCAATCTTAAGCCTAATATTAAAACCTGGAGAAAGAAAGTCTGTCAAAGTAAAATTCACTCCAGTTCTTAATAAAACTGTTTCATCCTTAATTGTTATCAGGTATGACGGATGTTTCTGAATGGAGTTTGAGTTCTGGATGCTTGTTACTTAGATGTAAGGCTGTATTCATGGCCAGCTGTCCATAGGAGGTAACCACTTGTACAAGAGTAACTGCACGGTCGTAGCTGTCTGGATAAGCAGATCTCACTTAAGTGTGTTACAGTAGTTAAACTATAATCAGTATAGAGTTTCTGATAAAAATATAGGGACTACTATTGATGTGTTTAAGTATATATCTTGAAAGTAGGCCATTTGCAAGATGCAGCTGCAGTTTGTATCATGCTTGTAAAGAGCATCTCTGACTGACTGCACTTACTGTTTGAATGAAACATGGTGCTCTTAATATGGTGATGAAATACAAGCTATAACTATTACTTTTTTTGTATGTTTTGTTGTGGATTCTTAGGCTTTTGTCTTACAAATGTTCTGTATGGAGATGTGCAGTTTTGTGCCGTACTGTGGGGAATTATCTATGGAACTGCTTATATCCCTGTCTGATATAACCTCAGAGTCTGTAGAGAGGTTTGCAGGAGCAACAGACTGCGTAATTCTGCTCTGTTTTTTTCCTGTGTCCCCAGAAATAACTTGACAGTAATAGATGCCCTACTGGTGCAAGGGCAGGGAACGACGGAGAGCTTGAGGCTGGCAGGCAAACCTCCCGGGCCGGGGAGTTCTTTACGCTTTAAAATCACGGAARCCTTGCTGAGGGACTGCTCGGAGAGTGAGTACCGTGTGGGCTGCGTGGGATGCCGCTCCCAGCATGGGTGCGGGAACGCTTGCTCCCTCTTCTAGTCYCCCGGGAATTTCATTCCTTTAAAATATTAAAGATGTTTCTTAATTTGGGCGGTCAAAGGAAATAGTTTGAACTTTACCATCTTAATAAGAYAATTTTGAAAAAACAGAATGAAAACAAATATTCTTCCACTGCTAAAATTCAAGGTAGAGGTGTTAGAAGTTCTACTGGGATAACATCTAAATCTTAAATGTGAGTAAAACTGGATCTTAACTGCAACTTTCTACACATTTTCCACAACTCCTTGGTAATCTGCATGTACCTGGCAACAAGGAGAAAGGTAGAGTGAGTTCCTATATGAAGACCAATTCTGAACAAATTCTGTTCTCCTTGGCCTCCCTCATCCTCCCTCCTGATATAATATTGGCAGGGCTGTCTCTTTCACCTTAATTTACCAATTAAGTGTAGGATATCAGTTGAGCACACCACTAATTACTTTGTTCCGTTTGCTTCTAGAAATGAAATTAAGAGAACCAAATTTCACACTGAGAAGAACTTTCAAAGTGGAAAATACAGGGCAGCTGCAGATCAACGTGCAATCCATGGAAATCAGTGGATATACGTGTGAAGGATATGGATTTAAAGTAGTTAACTGTCAAGAGTTTGCACTAAGTGCCAATGCCTCTAAAGATATAGTCATACTGTAAGTGTGTTACTTTCTGTTATGGACATCTRAAGGGGATCATACCCAGGGATTTTGTATTCCTCAATCTGTGCTGGAGGAAGTCTGTGTTAAGTTCTGGGGTGTTTTGTATAAGCTTTGAAGGTTCTTTTCTTACGCAGCTTCAAAACCCACACATAATATTTACATGAACAGAAGAAAAATCTTTTTTTTAAAGAACTTGGCGTTTTCATTATTGATTGTGGTCTTACTGTTGTCTCTATCCAGTATGTGCAGCTTACTGAGCTGGAATAGCGCTGCTATCCAGCTTTTTGCACATTTCCTTCGTTTGGAGTATGAGTGCCTTTGAGATGGAGATTTACGCTTACGTTTTTGGTGCATTGCAGCATRTGGAAAAAGAGCTCTTGGTCTAAGGATTATTATTGTAATGCCAAGCATTTTTAATCTTGGATATTTTGTCTGTTTCCATGATTATGATGATTACTTGCACTTTTTTTTAATGCAAGAGATTGGTACACCAAAAAACCCTTGTCTCTTCGTATTGCTTGGGTTTAAGGCTAATTAGAGGGTGCCATGCACAAAGTTCGGGAGGTGCTGGGGTTATGTAAGAGGACGTACAAGCCCCTAGCAGCAGTGGAATCTCACTGGTGCTTCTGCCCCAGAGACGGAGTGCTCATTGTGATGAGACAAGAACCCCGTGATGATGCTTTTGGAGAAGGTGCCCAGGCCTGGCTTGATTTTGTTCTCAGATGAGCTTCAAGCTTTGCAGCTCGCATGGTGATGGGCTCCGTTGCTTAGTTATGGCTTAGCTGTTGTTATACCTAGACACCTGTACAGGTGGACCCGGGGGGTGCTTATAAGCASAGTCAGCTGCATCTTGGTCTGTATGGAAGATGTGCACAAGTATTTTTAGGCTAATGGGTGGATGATGATTAGTCACACTGCTAAGGCTATTTGGTACAAATGCCATGACTCACAACTCATTCAAAAAGAAATTTTAAAGAATGCCGGTGATTAACGTAAGTTATCTAGCACTTTTGTGTTCTTCTAGTGAAGAATTCCAACGTAGTCCGTTTTGTTTTCAGGTTTACACCAGATTTCACTGCTTCCAGAGTCATCCGTGAGTTAAAATTCATCACAGCAGGAGGCTCCGAGTTCGTTTTTGTCTTGAATGCCTCCCTGCCGTATCATATGCTAGCGACATGTGCAGAGGCTCTGCCCAGGCCCAACTGGGAGCTCGCGCTCTACGTCGTCATCTCAGGAATAATGAGGTAGGGTGTTGGGGTGTGCTAGGGGGGTGTATGTGTGTTTGTATATGTGTGAAATAGAGGGGCTTAAGTATAGATTGCCAAGGCCATGTAAGAGCGACAGCACGTGTTATAATTAAACGGAACAGGTGGAAAAAGAAATAAGGGAAAAAAACAAACTACTCTGGATTATGGGTAGGYGGCTTACATGCTCTTGGTAACCCAAGCCTTGTGGGATTTTTATTGTTTTTTTGTTGCCAGGGAGGGCTGTTTGGTTTGGGGAGGGTTTGGGGTTTTTGGTTCTCTGGTGTGTTTCTGGTTGCTGGCCAAGCCCCCTGGCATCGGAGGAGGTGTCAGAGCGCGGGTTGCGCGGAGCCTGGAGGTGCCTGCCGGGGGGTGCGCTGTGGGAGCTCCCCCGAGGCGCCGGTGGGCTCCACGTGGCCATAGCGCTGACACGGGGGCCCGGGGAAGCCGAGGGGCGCCGATACCCCGTTCTCATTATCTTAATTAGAAATAAAACAAACTCAATTTATGGAACCAAGAAAGTTGGCTTRCTTAAAAGGAGAAGGGAATGATCCCGAGGTGACCTTGTGCTGCAGCCTCKGTTCTGCAACCTGTGCTGAGCCCAGAGGCCAGCATCGAGAGATCAAGGGGAGCTGCCTGGGACTGGAATAAAAATTCAAATTTTTACTTCGGATGCACTTTGGATGTTATGGTAGTAGAGGCAAACATAGGGATTTGTGTGAGCTTGTGTGAGAGGATTCTCCTATTTCGTTACCTTTTGCTGCCTGCTAACTTCCTGGGCACAGTTTTACCTTGCCTTCCTTCTGCAGCATTGAGGTGTCTCTAGCTGGCTGAGTTTGTCTGTGGAGGTGCTAGCGTTTGTGGGGATAGTTGGAGATGATGCCTGGACTAGGCTCTTCTGAAGAGCTGCAGTGCTGCCCCGTTGTGTGAACTGCTGCTCTTCCTCTTGTGTGTGGCTTACATAAAGATGCCAGTCCGAAGTGTGCAGAAATTGAAGTTGCTGATAGCAAGTTCTGTTCTCCTAAGCTGGCTAGGATCCCCAAACAGTTCAGCCCCCTCTCCTCCACTCCAGAAACTTAGACCCATTGGAAGATAAAGTCTGTAGCACCGCAGTGAAAGTCTCTGCAGCGCTTTTTTTTCTTGCTTCATTGAGAAGTAGAGTTTACTGCAGTGGGTTATGCCACGGGCGAGCTCCCACGCTGGATTGCAGCAAATGCAGCTAGCTGTAAAACTCCTTGATGCAGTCTCATAAACTGGAGCTCCCTGAAGAGCAGCCTGTTTCCCTGTGGAGAGTCTCTGCCTTTAAAACGGAACTGATAAAAGTGGCAGACTGTGGGAGCTGCTGACCACCTAGGTGCCCTTCCAGTATTTCAGATGCCTTCCCTTTTTTCCCTTTGGATTAGTAATTTAGGAAGCTGCATGCCAGACTCTTGGGTCCCCGGTTTTTATTCTCACTGTTTCTGATGTTGCTGTCGTGCTATGTGTCTTGTGTTTCTGTGAAGCACAAACTCGTGGTTTGGATGCAGTTCTCCTTTTGGGGTTTCCAGTGCCTAATGCAGTATACAAATATTTTGTCTTGTCTGATTTAGCTTCRTTAACCTGTGAAATTCTCAAAAATAAGAAATGCCTCTTTGCCTCTCTTCTCTGCAGCGTGCTCTTTCTCTTGGTAATCGGAACAGCCTATCTAGAAGCTCAAGGAATTTGGGAGCCATTCAGGAGACGCCTCTCCTTTGAGGCGTCGAACCCTCCCTTTGATATGGGAAGGCCATTTGATCTCAGGAGAATAGTTGGAATTTCATCTGACGGAAAGTAAGTATGTGTTGGTGGTGGGTGGGTTTTGATAGTAATTATATATTGTTGTTGTTGCTGTTACTACGATTATGAGGCCACTTAGGCAATAAGACTGCTCTAGAGAACAGGCCAATAAATGAAGATCCACTAATGGACAAAAGATAGCCAGTCAGAAGAGATAGATAGATAGATGTTGTGATTGTGAGAAATATGCATTGTTTTTGTGGAAACAAGGTGTAAAATTTCCTGTTAATRATGTTGAAGATGAAAGGCGTGTGCTGTATAAGAAATTTCAGGGCAAAAGTTCCTCCCTTTTGCATTTTTGCGTTTGAGCCTTCTCTCTTCGGAATTTCTTTCTATGTATCTATTGGCTGTCCTTCTATAGTGTTTTTGCTCACGTGTGGAGTGAGTGGGAAACAACAAACGCTTCAGGCTTGTCAGACAAGTTTTAGGCATTTTTCTTGATGGTGCGCCAAGAAGCGCCCGGTTGAAGGCTGCCCTGGATGTGGCAGCGCGTGTATGGGTGAGGAAGGGCAGGGAGCTCGCAGAGTTCATCTAATCCCTTGTCCTTCTTGCAGCTTGAACGCGCTCGGGTCGGACGCTCAGCACACCTCATCCCGAGGGATGTACGGCGCCGGCGGTGCCTCCTCGCGAGCGGGAGCGGGGAGTCACAAGCAGTGCAACGCGGCGGCCCAGCTGCATGGCGGCAGGAACGCGCCCGACGTGGAGAGCACCAGGGCCCGCGGCAGCTCCAGCCTCCCGAGCAGGACTTCGGCGCCAGGCGCCGCCGTGCCCCGRGCGGGCCCCTTTGCCGCAGACTCGGGCACCCCTCCGCAGGCGCACGGCCCCGGCAGGAGGGCCAGGGGCTCGCGGCAGAGCCAGCCGCCGAGCTCGGCACCGACAGCACCGCCGCTGCCGGAGCAGCCGCCGGAGGCGCCGGCCGAGGGCACCGCGGCGTCGCTGCCGCTGGCCGGACCCCAGGGCGCCGGCAGCAGGAGGCACAGCTCCGAGGACTCGGACCTCACGGGCCTCATAGAGACTATGGACAAAGACTTTGAGCACCCAGAATCCCCGTCCCCAGACGTGTTTACAGAGCAGCCCCCATCTCCACTAGCAAAAAGCAAAGGTAACGCACYGCCGCCCCGTTCCCGTGGGACAAGGCACGGAGCAGACTGTGCTTCCATCTGCTGCGAGGGTCACGGTGGCCCCATGTGGCAGGTTGTGGCTTTCCTGCCCTCATGTGTCCTAAACGCTTCCTGTAGCTCTTCTGTGCCCCTCCGAGCAATGCTAGGTGGTAACTCTTCCTGCAAATTTTTTGGAATGTTTTGAGGAAGACAAAAATGAATGTTTAGATACMGGTATCTAAAAGGCAGGGGCCAGATATATAAAAGGAGAGAGATGCTTGTGACTTTAGCTTCTTGCCCTTTGGTTTGGCATCCTTCAGCCTCCATCAGTTGGATTGGGGCTGGGGAACTGAGGGAAAGAAAAGGAAGATGTCCAAGGGTTTTGCGGACACTGAGACAGAGAACTGTAAATCATGGTAGAATTGTTGGGGACTGGARTTCTTCATGCCCAGACTTGCAGTTGTGGTAGGAAATCCTTGATGTCATGTGGCCAGCACCTGTGTTTATAAATTGCATTAATCTTTGGCTGAGTTAAGGTTGAGTTTGAATTACTTAGGCATCCTTTCAGTTGTCTAATGCTTAAAACACTTTATTCAATTTCCTGCTTTAAAAGTTGGCTATTCTCCTTCTAAAAATACTTGGTCAGAGCAGAACTTAATGCTTCTTTTGTGTCAGCTGTTTCAGCTGTGCTCCAGAATTCTGTGGTTAACTTAATTTCAAACTTAGTGTATTTAAGCTTTTCACTTTTTTCTTAAGCAAAGTGCTGCACAGAAACATGCAGTTACTGTGTTGCTTATGAGTTTAGGAGAAGAGCGTGAGGAAGGCCTGTAAACCCCGAGCAGCTGGGTAACCAGAGGCCCCGAAATGCCAGAGAGGCAGGTGCTGGTGAGCGAGTGCGAAGCTTCAGGCTGTTAGTGGTCGGTGGTCGTGAGCACAAAGCTGTGGGGTGCCTCGGCGTGGATGTGATCCTGCCGCTGGGCTTTCAGATGAGATGCTCTGGAGTGAGGAGAGCTTTGGGGCCACAGCTGAAATCTGCTGCCCTGATTTCTGGTTTAGCTTTTGTTCTGTCTTCAGTGTGGGCAGAGGGATGTGTTCAGAGGAATTAGCCTTAAGAGAACTGGGACCTGCTTCTCGGGCAGGTTTCTCGAGCGTGGCTGCTTGGCCAGCCCACGGTGGGGCAGCAGGCAGCTCAGGGGCCCTGGTGCAGGGGGCTGCAGCCAGCGGCCATGGTGACAGTCTGGGCACCCTCGCTGAGCGCCTCAGTGCTCTGGCCTTGGGCAAATCCAGTTCCCAGGGATTTGGGAAGGCTCCTGGAGCGCGTCTTCCCGTTGTGGTTTATCCTGCAAGGAAGCCCATTGYTGCGCTTCAAGACTGCTCCGTGGTGCAGCTGCCGCACGGTAAGTGGGGACCCTTGAGAGGCTCCTTCAACAGCACACACCTCATCCAAGGAAATGTCTGTAGCTAGAACAATTCCTAGCAGTTGGAGTGCTGGGAAGTTGGCACAGCAAATAGTTGCTCCTAAGTGTTGACAGAGCCATGATTAGCCTTTTCAAGCACATTTAAATACATTGTCATGAAATACAAGCTTGCCTTTTTTTTGTCTATCAAATTCAGACTCAAAGATTAATCACTTAAAGGGGATCTATTTTTTGTCATTTTCYCGTTTTGTAACCTTCTGATTACAGATGCATTCAGATAAATCCAGATTTTTCTTTAATGAAAGCTTTGTGTCACTTCTGCTTTGGCATAGTACACATGCAGTACACATATATTGCAAGCTTTTTTTTTTACAATTTGGATAGTTTTAGTGACTCTTAATCTGAGAAGAATAACTCAGAATGAATGTCTTTATCCACATAGATGTCTCCCTTGACATCTCATAGATGTCTCGGCTTGACTCACAAACTTTAGTGCATGAGACAAAACTTGCCTGTTGCCACATGCCATCTTCAAAAAGTGCACAGTTTGAGGGGAACTTCCGTTGTCTGTCTGGATCTGCGTGTGCACACACTGCTGTTTGATTGTTTGTGGGAGCTGGTTTGGGTTTTGATGCTTTCTTTGACAAACCTCAGCAGCTTATCTAAACATTTGCAGAAGCCGCAACTTCTGCATGGATATTGAACATCATAAAATCTTGCTCAGGATTCCTGTTCTTATGGGGTTTTTTTGTTTCATGTTCCTAGGACAGGGGTCGTAGCAGAGGCTACAGTAGATTATGGTGGTGTTGTTAAGCAGCTGTTCTACATCATATGTTTAGTTCAGGGGAAGCATTTTCTGGTGATAATATGTGAACTATTAGCAGTCCCRAATGTAGACTAAATTTAACACAGATCTCAGAAGGGGCCTTCTAAAGCAAATGTGTAACACTCGCCAGTATGCTCGAAAACTTTCACACAAAGCCCTTGCATTTACTTGTTTATTCACGTTCATCTTAAAGGAACATTTTATCAGCAGTATTTTTGTTTATTCCTATTTATATCGCTGAAGTACACTGATATAAATTAGGCCTGACAATTGATCTGTACCTAGTAGTTGCCAAAGCACTGAGGACAACTTTATGCCGTGGAACGAACTTTATCTGGGGGCATTTTGCCAAGCGGAATGTGAGGCCAAGGGCTGTGTTAGCAGTGCGAGGCCTCCCGTGCCCTGGCGCTGATCCCGGTAGGTGCCGAGCGCCGTGTCCAGCCTTTGCCGGAGCGAAGCAGCCGGCCAGCCTGGCAGCAGGAGGCGGAGAATGTTTGGTCCCAAGGGTAGTAGCTAATAGAAAGATCTTATGGGTACGGGTACGTGGAGTTCATGAATACTCTTACCCAGGGAGAGGATAGCAGGAGATGATGGTGAGATGAAGATCTCTCTTCYTCCTTGTTTCCTCCTTTTCTTCCCTGTTGCTGCCTTCTATACTGTCTCTTCTCGACACACTTYCAGTTTTTCTCTATTGATAACTTTTTCCGTAATTGTTTTAGTCTTTAGGAGCTTAATTTGAACCTCTCTACCTTATGAGCCAAGATCTCTACTTTGATATTGAAGGCTTTTAGACCTCCACATTTTGAGCTTAGAGTTCTGTAGAAAGCATGGGGCAAAAGCAGGGCTGCTGAAGTGGTAGTAGTGTTCAGGCACTACTTACCCATGTGACGATTGCTTCAGGAAAGCTGATTAAACACTCTGGAGTGTTTGATGTGCTCTCTCTACTTTCAACTGCAAGAACACTTGAATATGTCAAGCCAGAGTTGTGCAGTAAGCTCGTAAAATGGTAAAATATGAAAGAACAAAATATGTCRAGGAGAGAAAGTAAGCCCGGGAGCGAGGCGTTTAGGCTTTCTGTCAGTGACCTTGTGATCAAGCATTGCTATTAATGGTCATTCTCACATGGGCTGGGCTGACTTTGTGTTTTAATGGACAGRCATGCTGAGCCTTAAGCGGTTGGGATGATAAAGCTTGCAGCAGCGTCTCTATTTCTTGCTTAAATCTTAGATCTAGTCTTACGCGATGATAAGGTTGACCTAAACACCAAGAATGTTGTGGAATGTGAATGTTTAAAAGAAACGCCAGGAATATGGTGGAATAGAGTTACCTGTAGGCAGGAGCCCGCTGTCTGTGGAGAGGTAGCGGGGACACGGTTTGGCCGTGGGCGTCAATCCAGCTGTGGAGATGGGGCCTCCTCAGGTTTGGTGCTGGTCTTTACCCGTGGTGTGGAGCAGCTCTAAGCAGTTGGTGCCAGAGCAGAGGGCAGGCTCCAACTTCAGGGGTCCATCTGGGCAAGTTGAGCTCCAACCTCCAAGTGCAGCTGCGGAGATGTGAAGTGTCCTTGTCTCCCTAGGGAAAGGGAAGGTACTTCAGCGGAAGTCCAAGCCACAGAAGAAGCGGGAAGAAAAGGAAAGAAGAGGGAAGGGGAAGCAACAGGAAGATGAACTGAAGGATTCCTTGGCAGATGATGACAGTTCTTCAACCACAACCGAAACCTCCAACCCAGACACAGAAGCACTTCTGAAAGAGGTACAGCCCTGCTCCTGAATGGAGATCCTGCACCACCTTATGGCAGCGTGGCCCTTTTTTTGGAGTACAAGTCCTTTTTTTTTTTTTTTTTCTTTCTCCTTCCAGCTTTCACATGCTCTAGTCCCCAACAAAGAATGTTACCTAAAAAACCCTCTTTCACAGTATTTCCCCTCGCTCCTCAGGCTGCCCCTCTTTCAAAGAGGAGCATGACCCTCGTGCCTGAATCGGGTAGTCCCAGGATCAAAAGTGCCCGCGTGGCTGTGGCCGAGTGAGCTGCCAGTTGTCAGGAGAGCTGTGGGAGCTGCCTCCTTGCGTGCTCCGGGCCCATTCTGTTTGCAGAGTAAAACAAAAAACAAGATGTGAATCCTGATTCACATTACCTGATGGTCAAGATATGTGCAAAAATCATGTATTCAGACACTTACTGGGGATTAGTTCACTGGTGGTAACTTGTTAGCAATTACTTTGCTTTATACAATTGTGCACCCCACCTTCATTTTACTTTTTGAGCCCACACGCTTCTAGATAATAACCTAAATGTGCTTTTCACCACCTGTGTAGTTTTCAAGTGCCATAAATACTTTGTGCTAAGGCATGTACTATGAAACCAGGCAAAGCTAAGGTAACGGGAGAGAGGAGAGAAAAGCAAATCTAAACTTGGACTTTTTTTTTTCATTTCAGTTTGGGAAATAGAGAACTTCTGTCTGGAGGGGAAAAAAAGAATGAAATCCATCCGATAACATTTTGAAAGGCAGGGTTTAGTTTGCTTGCCTTGGCTTTTCAGTGTGCTCAYATTAGCAAGTCATGGAAGTATGAAAAGTTATTTGAGTGCTGAAGTTGTTGAAAATAGAGAATCTGGTTTAGATGACCGGGACTGTGTGCAGCCAATGATTCAGCTGTGCAAGTTACACATGCAGTYGGATGTGCAGTATATAAGCAGTGTTGGGCTCAGTACAGAGCTGGCATCTTTTTGAGCTCCCTGGGAGGCCCTGGCTTGGGAAGCTGCGGATCTGTGAACATGGGATTTGTCTGAAGCACCTTAATCTGCTTTCTAGAGAAGCAGAAATGGAGACATCTAGAAAACCGGATATGCAGTACATCATCACTGATGAGTAGAAAGCTACTCTATATGCTGCAAAAATATTCCTGTTTTTTTGAATAACTTTCCTCAGTCTGGTTGATATCTTGATGCAGGAGAGACTCTTAATTTGCTTTCTTAAAAACTGAATATTGCTGCTATAATGTTTTTCATAGGAGCCTGAAAAACAAAAGGGAAAAACTACATCAGAAAAAACTGAAAATGAAACAGTCCAAGTAAAACAGAAAAGTAAAAAACTGCTAGCAAATATCAAGAAAGAAATCCCTGTAGATGTGAAAACCAGGTAAGCAAAATAAAGGAGACATCTCTCAAGGAAAAAGGGGAAGAGCAGATAAAAATCTGTGCATTCAACTGTTGTGACCGCCAAACGTGACTGCTGGCAGCAGCAGCAGGTAGCCCTCAGGCAGCTTACTCATCCTTCCGGGTATCAGGGAATATCTAAAGTTTGTAAATAAGAAATTATTTGGTATGCAGTGCATTAATAAAATAAGGACTAAATCTGAAGGAAGAAATCAGGTTAAGCAGTGTGCAGGTTTCTTTTTTTTGACAAGTATTGCACAGAGAAGGCTGATGTTTCCCCAGGAGCTTCTGGTGGCAACACAGCGAGCGAGTGTTCACAGGGGTGCTGTTGGGCACCCTGACTGAAGCAGGAGCTCTGCAGCTTCCTTTCTTTGGCTCATAGCGTGAGGTCGCTGTCTCGGGCACGTTGCTGGAGAAGGCTGCTGCCCTCTCCGTTGCTTTGAGAGGTGGTTGATGGTCATGTACGGAGCAGGGGAAAAAGAAAACTGGAGCCTTATGCAATTGTAAACTTTTGCTTTTAAAAATCCACTTATTTTTATTTCTTCTCACCATTATCCCTTCCCCTTTATGTTCTGAGACAGAAGGTGGCTACATGTTGCATTCAAAGTATTCAGAGGCCCCGAGGAGAGCTGGATTGGGTTTCTTCTGCAAGAAACAGAAGAAATAATTCTGCCCTAGAAAGCTCACTGTTTGAGAGGGAAGCAAATAGAAAAAAGAACAGTATGTAGACAAATGAATTTGGTGGGAGGATTGAATAGTTTGACATCATTTCTTAAGTGATGATCGCATACATTCCTGGCAATAGCATATCAGGAGCACAGGATCTTAGAGGAGAACAGGGAGAGCCTGGTAGAGGGCAGTTGCTCCTTCCTGCTGGCTCTGCAGGCAGTTAGGTTTGTAATCCTGAAGCGCTCCCTGAGAGCTACTCGCGGAGCCGCATGGGCCGGGAACGGGCCAGGGCGGGAAGGGCGCAGGGGGAGCTGCCTACAGGGGACATGGGAGATGCCAGCGGAGCTGCGCTAGTGGCAGCTTTGAAGATGGGCTTGGGCTTGGCATAAGAAAGCCACAGGAGACCTTGCGTAAGGCCATAGGGCATGTTCATGTAAAACTCTTCTTCAGCACTCGAGAGAGCAAAGGAACAGTTACTGATTTGATGTCTGTTTTCATTCAGTTCTTTGGAATTGTCATATACTCCCCCAGTGGAAAGCAAGCCACGCAAAACCTTTCCAGCTAAGATACCTACACAGCACCTTCTGACAAATGGGTCCAAATCAAGAAACCTCCCCAAAACACGAGGTAGCGTGAGACATTTTTGTCATAAATATCCGGGCTGTTGAATGCTATTTGTTTACAAGCACTTTGGTTAATTTTAATTCTCTACTTGAGCAGAGAGAGTTCATCTGAATGGACTTGGTTTTGTTTTGTTTTGCTTTAATAGGTCCAAACAGTAAGTTAATGGAGAGCAGGCCTTCAGTGTTAGCAAAATTTCTCCCCAGTGGGTCTGGACAGGAGCTCGGAAACACCAGCAGCTCAGAAGGGGAAAAGGATTCTCCGCCACCCGAGTGGGACTCGGTGCCGCTGCACAAAGCCGACAGCTGTAAGTAAGCGTTAGAGTTAGTCTTCTGCCATGAATATCCATAGGGAAGATCTGTGTATTGATCATCTGTTCCTCTCCTCACTGCATAGCTGGGCTCCCTTTTCTGTTGTAGGCCCCATATCAAGAGCATCTGCTAGAATTGGGGCAGATTGAAAAGAGTATGAGCAGAACATGGGTTTTTCCCGTAGTGCTTCAGAAACTACCTGAATGCAGTAGCTGTTGAGGAAATTGAGGAAATGTGAATTACTGCTTCAAAAAAAAAAAAAAAAGTGTTTTCTGCAACAAATATAGGTTTTGCTTGGTTAAGTCTGCTGCAGCTAGAGCTGAAATTAGTCAAATGATCTGTCCTTGAGAGGCAGCACCATAGTGTGATGGTTAGTGCGCTACTGTGAGCTTTCTGATTGCATATTAAGCCCTGTATATAGGAACTAAATCTCCCTCCTGCTGGTTGTGTGTAAACATGAAATGTCCCTCTCCACAGGGCTTGTTCAAAACCATTCTTAACTGTTTAAAAAGCCATTCTTTCTTCCAAGCACATCACTTTTTTTGTAGTGTTTTCATTGAAATGCAATCTGAAAATAGGTAGTAAACCTGTATAACAGTAGGTGAATATAGTGAGGACCCACCTCTTCCTTTGATAACTGGGGATAGCCTCTCGTCACTCCTCTGTTTGAACAGAAAGGGAGCAGGACTTTGGTAGCCTTGGTTATAAGTCCACGCTACAGGAGGGCGTTTTGTGCTTCCTTTCACAGCCACAGACAACCTGTACAAACTGTCTCTCCAAACGCTGAGCGCGGATGCTTTCCTGAAGCAGCGCCAGCCCTCGCCGACGCCTGCCTCTCCGTCACCACCGCCGCCTCCTCCTCCTCCTGCAGCCTTAGCCTTTGGGCCGCGAGGAGGCACCTACAGCAGCATCGTGAACAGCAGCTGCAGCAGGTGAGTCCACATCTGCGCCTCCCGCTGCCCTCCCAGGCACAGGATGGTGGTGTGCTCTCTGCTGCTGCTCCCTGTACACACACGTTTCCTCTTCCCACGGAAACCGCTTCATTACCGGTGCTGCTCTGCATGTCATGTCGTGCTACTTACTTTCCTGGGATTTCTTACACAACCTGGTGCACTGCAGAACTGTGTGCTTACAGGATAGGTGGAACTGTTGCTGTTATTTTCATTTTACCTTCTAGCTAAAATCACATCTAGCTTAAATAACTACTTTTATATCAAAACGCTAATGCCCAAAATCTTACTTTATATATTTTTTTTTCTCAGTGAAACAAAAACCAAGCAGACTAATGGTACCAAACACAAGCTGGCAAAGGCTGCATCTCTGCCAGGCTGGAATGGAAATCCCACTTTTGCTGCTGTAGCTGCTGGTTATGATAAGAGCCCAGGTAATGGAACCAGGTTTGAGTTTAAATACTGCTGAATATTCCCTGAATGTTCTAGTTTTATACTGATTTTACATCTRTTTTTGCAGGTGGCAGCGGCTTAGCAAAGATTTCACCAACTAAGACAGATGTTTCCAGCAATATCAGCATTTCCCACACAGTTGTTGACAGTGATGGCTCTGACAGGTAACTTTTGTACCTCTTGCACTTAAGCTCCCAGAAGAGTCACTGTAACACCTTAATGGCATTTGTGAAGGTACAAAAAGGGCTTCTTTTGGGTTCCCAAAGTTCTGCACAGCATCACTCCCTCATTGCCTGTAACTCAACAGTTCCAGTATATCCAAATAACACAAAATTAGCCTCCTCTTTCTGTGTTTTGAGGGGTGTATCCCGAGGTCACTCAGGCTGGTTTCTAGGCAGAATTTCTGGCTACAGAGGCACAGCAGCGTCTTTCACTCGCAGATTTACCACCGAGATCAGAATGATTAGCTGCACTTTCTCCGCCCTACGAGTAGAAGTGACCCATAACCGTAATAAGCCACGTTCCCCAGCGCACACTTTCTTTCTGACGTGGTTTTAGAGTGCGTGTCTGCGTCAGTTCGGCTGTGAAACTCAGTAGCTGCTCCAAAATAGGAACTAGACTTGTGTGCGTTTCGATATGTAAAGGAATTGCTGCTCTGAGCAAGATTTGTGGGTGGATTTTTGGTTTGTTTATGTGAATGTTTATCACTGATTCCAGTTAGCTCGTCTGTATTTTCAAGAAACTTGCCCACAAAGTACAGCGTAAGGGTTTGTGTGGCTCATTTTTTTTTTTTTTCTTCTGCTAATCAAAAACATGGCACTACATCTTGGGCTCTACGTTTCCTTGAAAAACTGAGCAAAACAGTTACTTCCAGGTGTGTGGAGCTCATCCTACACATTAAGCAGCTTTTTATCTAGAGCAATGCTTCAAAGTAGATACATACACCAAAAAGGAGAATTTCCATATATACTGAAGCCTTTTGGTCAAACAAGGATAACTTAAATTTTCCAATGCTTGGTTGCAGTTCAGTCTTTTAACTGTATCATTTTCTGCCTTGGACTGCTTCATGAGATATCTGTCTGAATTGCTTTATATATAAATATATGTATATATATCAGAAAGTATATATCAGTATATATCCCTGGTGATAGTGTGTTAATGAGTTGTTTATTGCTTTTTTCCACACTCTGTGACATTTAGTTCAGGTTTATGGAGTCCCATCAGCAACCCTGGCAGCCCTGACTTCACGCCCCTCAATTCATTCTCTGCATTTGGACATTCTTTTAACTTAACTGGAGGTGAGTTCTTGTTTTCCAAATTCTTTCAGTATTCAAATACAGGAAAAGGAACAGTGCATTTTCATTCTGCGTTTAAACCTAGGCACTGGCCCATCTCTCTTACTTCTCAAAATATGACCATGTAGGAGTCATAAAAAAAAAAAAAAAAATGCTGGCTTATTCACTACTTCAGCCCAGGGAGGATTAGTGGAAACTTGTATTGCTTGTTGTGCTGGAAATGAGTGTTTGGAAGTTTCTTGATTCCGGAGCACTTTCTCAGGAAGCTGTAGGGTGGCTCTCAGCAGGGTGCCTCTAGGGCTGGGGCTTCCTCAGCACTTTGCACCGTGCTCTGGAAGAGGCAGTGGCCCATCCCACATGGAGCTTTCCTCTTGTGTTGGGCTGCAGTGATGGGAAAGGGGGTGCCCCAAAGTAAATGAGTGTGTTTTGCTAATGAGGGGCAGCTTCAGCACTGCTGCTCATCCAGCTGTAGTCAGCCTGTTTTATGAAATAGGCAGGATTTTCRCTACTGCTCTGCTTGTGCCAGGGTCCCAGCTTATTTGCTTATTGTGTAGTGCCAGGGATAGAACAAGTTCCATAGGCTGAGGCAGAATGATGCACAATAATGTGCTGTAATTTGTGGTTCTGACTTTGTAACACCTGCCTGCTAYAGGGCACGTGAGACCTATATTATTGTGTGACCTTTTAGAAAAAGTATTCACACTACACTGACAAATATTACAGTGTTCTTGATACAGAAAGAGGAAATGCAAAATACTCAGACTTGTTTTCTTTTCTTTTCTTTTCAGAGGTTTTTAGTAAACTTGGTTTAGCTCGACCTGCTTATGGGCAGGATGTTCAGAGAAACTGGAGTGAATTCAACAATGTTCCGTCATCCATCTGGGACCCTTCAGCTACAGATTCTGTACCCTCCTGGCCAACTAGCTCGAGTTCCCCAACTCACACAACTGCAGTAAGTATTGAGTCCAAATAGGGTTCTGTTACTGTTGTTAACCTGTTCCATGTCTGCCACCTACCCTCATTTAGAGGGGTTTTAAATTGTGTGAAAAATGTCAACAGAATGATTGAGGGAAAAGGGAGGTTATTCATATTTATCGTTCTCTCTGGTTAATTTGAAACTGCCATTGGAGAAAGTAGTTAGTCCAATTAGTCCACTCATTTGCGGATGATAGATCCATGCAAGTTTGCTTCCCGTAAAATATTTGTCATGAGAGCATCTGAGAGCACTTGGAAGAGTGTGTTCCATTTTCCCCATGCTTGAGGGTGGTGGAAAAGACCTTCTGCTCCCTTGCCATGCTTGAATGTAGCTGCCTGTGTCACTTCCAGCTTGATGGGCAGCTGCAAAGCAGCCAGTGCGAGTATATATCTGTCCAGTGCTTCAACCTCTGCAAATTAAGATAAAGACCAAAGCCTTTGTCTTAAAGAAAATCAAGTGTGAGGTGCTTTTTTTTGTTGGTTTGGTTTGGTTTTTTTTTTTTTTTTTTTTTTTTTGCAACTTAGGAAAAACACCGAAGGACTTGGTATAAAGCTTTGAAAGCAGCTGTTGATTTGATAGAGACCTTGAATATAGCCAAAGTGAAGAAAAAGCTTTTCAGCAGATTATAGCACTGCTTGTTCATCCTTGGGCTTCTCTGTCAGAATAAAACTTAGAGCCCATCAGCTGTCCTTGATGCCAGCTGAAGCCATTCGTCATCTTGTCTCCTGCAAATGTTTTTGCAGTGAGTAAGAGGCAGTGTTTACTTCACCTGGTGGCAGCGCAGAACAGGGGAAAGGGGAAGCCTAAATAGGCCACAGCCTCTTACGGACATGCGCTCGCTTGATCCCCTGTCACGGGACTGTAACATCACTGAAGTGACATAAGGAGAGATATTTGCTTCTGGTCACGTGGAAGACAGATTTCTCCTTGTGGAATAGGAGGGAGGGGTTGAGGACAACTGGAGTAATCTCCCTATTTTCTGGCCACTTCTGAAGAGCACCCAGAAGTGCTTCAGGGAGACAAACCAGGCAGAGATGGCACTGAGAAACTGGCAGTCCATCCCTTCAAATACCTAGATTTGGAAAAAGAGCAATTTAGGACCTTCTGCTAAGAGAAGGTTGCTTAATAAACAAAAAGCAGAATAAAAAAAAACAGAAACTTTTCTTYAAGGCAGTGATTTTTCAAGTGCTTATAGTGATTAAGATCAGGAAAACTTTGCTGTTCCTGCCACTGAACCTCAGTGCTAGAGAAGGGAGCAGGTACAAGGCTGAGCTCTGTGCTCTCCCTCCCACAAGACCAAGGCAATTCGTACAAACAGCAGTTACATAGTGGCTTCTATATTATACTCTCTTTATAGGAATATTCCTGAGGAGTTATTTTCAGTACAGGATGAGTCCTCATCCTGTTATTTCCCATCTTTCGTGTAAATCTCTCTCCTTCTGCATGAAATATTTAAATTCAGGGTTCTAACTCCCTTAAAGCCCTTTCTTCATTGGCACTGCCTCTTCCCAAGTTTCTTTCTCACCATAGTCCCTTACTCCTCTTTCTTCCATGTGCTTGCATGTGGTACTGCCTGCAGGCCTGTTTGAACCTCCCTCCACCAGCCTGAAAAGGAGTTATCTGATCTAGAGTCCTTTTCTCTGCCTCTTTCCTGGCTGCTGCTTCTCCTGTACAAGCAGTTGCCTTTGCAGCAGGCCCTCCCAAATGCTTTGGGGCGTGCAGGAAGGGCTCCTGGCCCTTCTGCCAGTAGTAGGAATAAACTGAATTTAGAGTTGGTGCCTGAGCATCAGAATGAGTGTTGTCTGTAGTCTCAGTGGTGTAATGGTTGCCTAGCTTAACTGTGACTGTTTAGTTACATAGAACCCAGTTATAAACTGTAACCCGAGTTTAGTTCAAGATCATAGTGATAGTGCAGAGACCTAATGATGTGGTCTTGATAACCCTTTAGTATGATCAAACCTTGTCTAACCCTCTGTAGCAAATCCTACAAGGACTGTTTTTTTCTAGTGTGCAGCCGATTTCAGATATGCCTGAGTTGAACACATCTTTGTTCCAGGAAAGAAAAGTTATTAACCTGAAAATTATTTTAAGGCGCCGAGTCCACTGACACTGGTTAGGTTTTAGAGTCTATTACCAGAGGGCTCAGATCTTGGGAAAGGAACCTCTCTCTCCGTTCTGTAAATCCAACCATAAGGATGAGCGTAGCTTGCAGTGCACAGCTTAGCAGGCCCCTTGCCTCTTGGATGTATCAGGCTTACAGATTGCATTTACAGCGTATGTGCGCTGAATCTGCCAGCTCTGGGGCAGGCAGTGTGTTAAGCCTGCATGCACCAGGTTCTCTGCTACTGGCAGCATGAAAGTTATGCCAGCCTTTCTCATCCWGGCCCTTGGCTGCTTCCGGCTGTCGTTTCCCACAGCACAGCGTATCAGACTCCTTGCTCGCTGCTTGCGGCTCTTTGGGCTTTACTGATGCACTTTGGGGGAGCTTAGCCCTCTTCCTTTCTCCATGTATTCACGAGGCTTGTGCATCCCAGATGCACCTATGYCATGCTGCAGTGCACCTGCACTGTGGCCGTTTGCCAGAGACTCCTGTGCCGCTTGAGAGCTGAGGCAGAATGGCTRGAAATTCATGACAAACAGCAAGTTCTCCCATCCACTTCCCCTTCACCTGGAGAACTTTGGGCAGGAAAAAAAAASTATATGCTGGGAATATGTGGAGATACATATGTGGGACTAAACACAGGCAGGTTCATCCAAAAGTTTCAGTTTCAGTTACAGTTTAGTAACAAATATGTGTCAGTGCAAACAGAGAATTGCAAACTGTCCAATCAAGGATCGGGGACTTCACTGCCACCTTCCACTATAACTTGAGCTTTGTTGTCTTTATCCAGACATGATCCATGTTTATCTTCCTCGTTCTCAGTAGCTTAATTAAGCCTGGGCTTGTTGGCCCATGGGTGTTGAGGTTTGGATGACAGCAGTGCCTACGTGGTAAGGCAGTGCAAAAGCTCACATGATGGGAGCCTCAAAGGCTGCAGTGTACCTGCTCTGTGCAGCTGGTTCTGTTGTGTGGTGCCTCTGGGCCAGCTCTCAGGGCGGGCCAAGAGCGCGTGCAGCGAGGAGGACAGGGGGGCTCCGCAGCAGCCTCGCTTGTCCCTGCGCACCAACGTCCCGCACGTCTCGCAGACTGCAGGAGGCTGCACACGGGGTGGAAACGCAGGCCCCTTGACTGCTGCTGAGCATCTCTCTCTCTCTCTCTCTCCCACAGTCGATCCTGGGCAACCCAAGCGGCCTGTGGTCGAGCACTCCGTTCAGCAGCTCCATCTGGTCGAGTAACCTCAACAGCGCCCTCCCCTTCGCCACTCCAGCGAACACCTTGTCAGGGATCGATCTCATGGGCAGCGAAAACCCCTCGCCGCCGCCGCCCGCCCCGCCGCCCCCGGCCCCCGTTCCAAATCCCGCTGAAGACCTGGGACAGACCTACAATCCTTGGAGAATCTGGAGCCCCACGATTGGAAGAAGAAGCTCAGATCCTTGGTCTAATTCACACTATCCTCACGAAAACTGAAATTAAAAGGAAAAACAAACTTCTATCCAGGTCATGATACAATTCTGAATGGTAATTTTTGAAACATCATTTTCAGGCTGTTGCTGGTCATTGCTTTTTTTTTTTTTTTTTTTTTTTTTTTTTTTTTTTTTTTTTTTTTTTTTTTTTTTTTTTCCTGCCAGTCATGCTTTCATCACTCGCTCCTTTTAAAGTCTATCTTGCAATATGATAGTGTGAGATTGCAGATAAGCTTGAAAAAGTCTGGGTCTGGTCACAAATCAAACTACAGCTGAAGCCTGTAAATCTGAACAGTTTCACTGGGTTCATATTTTACCACCTGCCACTTTTTATTTAGAAAGCAATTTGAACTATAAAATGGTCCTGGCATGCAATACTTTTATCAAAGTACCGGTTTTGGTTTTTAAATTTTTTCCAGTATTATGCTCCAAGATCTAATTTTAAAACAAATAAAGCACTTTGTGCTAAAATGCAGAGTATTTTTTTAAAATAAAGGCTGTCTTTGTTAACACAGGTTCTGAGAATGTAAAGAGAAAACAAACAAAAACAACACACAACCTTAAGAGCAAAATGGCTGAATGTAAGAGCATTCTGTTGAGACTGTAATACACTTTCTGTGCTGTTTGTACATTTGTAAACCTGAATGCATTTTTAAGTTGAACTGAAATGCACACAGCCAAGACTTGTGGAAGAAACAAGATACCTTGTGCATTTCTTACAGATACAACTTTGGGTTGTACTTTAAAATAAATACTGCTTTTTTCAAGCTCTGTCTAATGTAATTCTGTCTGTCTCCAGGCACTTTCTGAACTCGTACATGCCTGAAGCTGCCAAGCAGGGGCGGCCTTCAGGGCAAAATCTCCTGTTCATAGGGCCTGCATTAATAGAAACCTCACTGCAGATGAGTTATTCCTTAGCAATGTGTGGTATTAGAGCGTTTAAGACCTTGAGACTGTGCAGAGTAGCACAAAACACTGAGATGTCACCAGGTGGAGTTGTGCTGGGTAGCAAAATGCTGGGAAAATGTCTACACTATTTCAGTTTGGAGGTGATCAGATGTGGTAGCAGCTTCTGCTGTTCATGCTACACCCCAGCTCTGTAATACTGTTCTCTGTAGGCGCAAACAAGAACTTTGTACGTGTAGATGTGATTTACCTCTTCCCTGAAGTGCGTTTCTCTCAACACTAAGGCAAGCCTGAGTGCCAAAGAGTATCCACCTGAGCTTGTGTGACTCACAAGCACTGCTCCCAGTTTACAGCAGCAGATTTTTATCAGAATCCATCATTTAGAAGATGAAGAGCTGCATATTGTAATTAAAACCTTTATGCTCCAAGGAATATTGTATGCAACAAAAGGTAAGTATTACACTAAATTGCTTATTTAAGTGACTACTTTTGCAGCTGGCCTGTAAGCAACAGCTCTGCTGTCACTCTGCCCTGTTCTTGCTGCCACCAGCAGAAGCTAAAGATGGGAGTCTCTGAGAGAGGAGCTTTCTCAGATTCCTTTGTTCTTAAAAATCAGGTACTTTCAGAGTGATGAAAGGTTTAGCTTGTGCTTATGTGCCTTTTCCTTCTGATGAATAASTGGGCAAACATGTCTCTTTGCATACAAAATAGTTAGTCATTAAGCTACTGGCGTGCTGGGGCCTGTTTCACTRCAAGATAAAAACTTAATGGTTAATGCTAGTTATCATCTTAAGTTTTTCGTACCACCTTTTTTCCTCAGTAGGTCTTTGTGTTAAAATTTAATTTTTGCTTATAACCTCCAAGGAATCAATCTGGSATACTAAATCATCTGTGGTTTAAGTGTCTGCAAGGACAGAAATGGTTTCTGCTTTAAAAAAAYATCCTGGAAAAACATGAGGCAACACCTRTGTAGCTTAGACCTTTGCTTCCACKGTGTGAGCCCTTCCCTTGCCTTATTTCAGATAACCTCTGCCCCCTTTAGAACAGTCTCAGATTTTTTTGCTCTCAAGCACCAATTAAATATTATAATTTAAGCTCCAGGGACAACACAATATAAGCTATTGTGATCTTTGACACATATCCTGCTGTTTCTTAAGAGAAGTAGTAGCAGATCTGCCCAAGGAGAAGGGGGAAAGAAAGGCTAAACCCAATGACTTCYTCTTTCTGAGGGTCTCTGCTCCCCGTTCCCTGTGCTCGCTCTGTTCTGTGTAATTAAAGAGCTACTTTTAAGAACAGACCTAACTGGAATTTATGAGARTTAGTTTGAATAAAATTGTGACTAACTCCCTATTTCTAAGGAGACCTCTGTTGCACAGTAAGGATAGGTAGGGCACAATTTTGCTGCTYTTTCCCTGTAATGTTATGGGACAGTTGCACTTTTCACAGATATTGAAAACATGAAAACATAGTTGAGGTCTCTGACATGATTTTAAGATTCACTTTTTAATTTTATTTCACTTATTCTTGAGAGATTTTACTCAATGTCCAAAGCCTGTAGAACTGTTGGAAAGTTGAGAGGCACTGAGCAGGTGTTGTGAGTTGGAAAGATTCCCCACAACAGAATATTAAGAGATGGCAGATCTCTTGCACTAGAATATTAACAATAATAATAATAATAATAATAAGCAAAGTGAATGCATGCAAAGTCTTACATGGAAATTCTAGATTGCATAGAAAATCCAGCAGCCTTCTGGAAGGACAGCTTTGGAGGATAGAGGATGAGCACAAGCTGTGGTAAGGTGTGAAGCTGCAAAGCTTTTCAACAGCAGCATGAGAAGAAGCTGAGGCATATACTATGTGGGAAGGTCCATCTTGAATTAAAAAATAATAATAGCAAATCAAAAATGTAACTTAAAGCTCTCTGAGGAAAGGTTACTCTGGAAAACMGGGAGCTTGCATCCAGTAATTTCTTCTTTAGAGTAACATCAGGGCATGACTACAATGCACCAACTCTGCTCATTCAAACTTGGGGAAATACTGGGAATACAAAATAAAAACAAGGAAGAGAAATAATTACCATTAATTTTGCTAATTATTTTGATGCCCCAAGTTTCTCTTCTGCCAGCTCTAATAAATAGACTTTAAAAGCCTGAAGAGTAACCGCCTAAAGTGGAGAAAGGTATCATATGAAATCAGTTTACTTAGCACTAGCTCTGCTTCAATAAAACTTAGAGACTTTGGTTAAGATCCTATCAGGGCAGGACCTAAAGTTCCACCCAGTCGAAGCGCTGTGGTGTTTATTCCATGACTATGGTGACCTGGAACAAGGCGAAGGAACAGCAAACAGGTCCAGACGGAGCCTTGCAGAGCAGGTTAGCACGGAAAGAACCAGCTGGGGAAAAGTCTTTTCCAGCAGCATGTGGGTGACCAAGAGCAGGCTGCCCGGCCCAATGGGCGTGAGATTAGAGGGGACTGCAGCCTTTACCAGCGTGGAGCAAAGCGCTGCCTTTCGCTGAAGCGCAGTCACTTGAACAGATRTTTTACACTGACTCTAGCTTTGCTTTGGCAACCTGTAATTACAAAGAGGTTTTTTTTGAGCTCGCGGCCCAGCAATGACTTGACCCCCCCACGAGGAGCAATGGTTGGAGGTGAGACAGGCACTGAGACTGGAAACCAGCCAGCACCTTCTCTGCGGCGGCTGCTCCAGGAAGGGGGTCCAGCCCCTGGGTTAAAAAAGGTTCAAAGCAGCCATTCTCTGCCCTGTGCCTGTCCCCCCTCAAAGAAAGGAAGCGACATCATATATGTTCAAGCTTCTGGGTCTCACACAACTGCAATCCAGCACTGAGTGGAGCCTGACTTTATAGCAAAGGGCCACACAAATATCAAGAAGGCAAGGCTACAGATGGATAYGGGATGCCCAGAAAAATACAGGGAACTAATAAAGTGTCCTAAGGAGCAGCAAAACCTCCAATACATAGCAGGACCTGAGGCATGGCCTGAGCACCTGCTACGCAGAACTGTGCAGTGAAAGACTTCCTTTCAATCAGCTGAACTGAACATGTCACTAAGGGAAATAAACAAAGTGGACGTGTCAAGCAGACTTTAATGGATGGAAAAGGGTTAAAAAAAAAAAAAAAAAAGCCCTGGCATCAGCTTCTGCCTGTGGTGACACAGGAGTTGGGGTCCCGAGCAGACACCAGTGACACCAGTTCACGAGGCCCCGTGGACTCTCCTGTCAAGCTATAGCATGCCCTAGCTTGGGATTTTTTGTGTGGCAGTGGGAAGTGAGGGGGATTTTTAGGCATCACTGCAGTAACAGGGAGCCTCTGGCCTGCTTTCCAGAGAGCGTTGGTAGGTGGTGAAGCACTGTCCTGGAGCCCGAGTAAAGCTCTTGCAAGCTATGGGGAATAATTCATTTATTCTCCCTAAAGAAGGGAGAAAGGAGGATTTTTGGGGTCCTAAACAAAAACCCCCAAGGCCAATGTCCATCCAGTGAATTGCAGGGGGCGGCAGGGTTCAAAGGAGGGCCTSCTCTCCCCTTGAAACCCTGGCAGGGAAGTGGCACAGAGTGCCCATTTTATAGTTCTGGATCTAGTAAAGTGTTTCCAGAGGGGAAGAAAGAAAATATTTTTTTTTCCTGCACAATTTCTTGGGCTTTTCTAGTATGGGTCTGTTGCAGAAGGAAGCCACTGGTAGCATTTTTGGCTTCATTAGAAGAAATCATTCTGGAATTACTTTCCATGGAAGAGGACATTCACTGGGCAGAGGACCCTATAGTGTCTGCTGGCAATGCAGGAAACCAGGAGCTAGGCAGGAGGGCTCTTTACCTTTTAAGAAGACCATGCATGGGAGTTGGAAGCTGCAAGTACAAGGAGCAAGTGACTAACATATTTTGCTTTGTTGGCTGTTGCTGGATTTTTGTATGGGAAAAAGTACCTTCAGCCATAGCAGTCAAATTTCTACTAACATTAAAGATTTCAGCAATGAAGAATGCAGAAAAGCAATCCCTAACCACTACACAAGCTCCAGCATCAAATGGGTATGACGCAGTTTATGGGATTGTGGGGAAATTCTTGTTCTGCTGTGCAAACTGGGAATCTACTTGAACAAGAGGAATAGGAATTTCAAGGACTATTCACTGGTGTCTCATTCCAAACCAGCAACAGGGAAACTCCTTCATGTGAGCATCTAAAGTCAGTC